AAAGCTGGTTCTAATGTTGCTTATCTCGTCTTCGGAACAGCTTCTGTGGAAAGAGCTAAATTTGAGGCTATTTAAACGCTCGGTTAGCATGCTATTATTCAAACAGTAATGCGCTCAAGTGAAGAATTGTGAATATCGAGGCATGTACTGAATTTTTTGATACCCATATTCAGCATTGTTTTATTTGAGTGTTACAAAGACTGCAAGGATAGTTCTATCTGACAGCGCGTTTAATTTCGTGCTTCAAAAAGGCTTATAACTCGCCTCCCAGAACCGATCGGCAGATAAAGGGAATAAAGTTGGAGTGAGAATTTCTATGCTCTTCAAAACTTTATGTATCGTCCAGAAAGGCCTACTGCTAATCATTTTTCCCTTGTCTAATTCTCCAAAAAAAGGGGCGACATTGTGCAATGGTGGGGTAATAAGAGAAGAGACTTTAAAGCACAAGTCCCAATATCTTGATCCTGAGCTGAATCTTCACAGATCATCAAAATTGTACGAACAAAATCCTTTGCTGCATTCGGATAAACATTTCGATTTGCTCTTGCACATCAAATGCACTTTGACTTTATATCGGCGCAAGCCCCCCTAAGGGGCCGGGCATACTTCACGCGATTTCAGTCGCGAAGCGATTTGGCAGTATTCCAGCTGTCCATAACGCACTGTAGGCACATTTTAAATGTACAGAAGATAGGGCATTTTATCAATCCACCCAACATATGTACACGATGCATGTGCAGTTTGCTAGTGCTGGATCTGAAGACTTATGGCAAATTGCCAGATCGCGTCGCGACTGAAGTCGTGTGAAGTATGCCCGGCCCTTAACGTCTTGAGTGCTAATCGCCCTTTTGTACCAAGAGACAGCACGATCTTCTATGTTTCTGCTTTCTCGAATTTTTTGCGATAGGTGGGGAGAGAAACTGTCTGAAACAATTTTTTGTTATGACGGAAGCCATGTCACCAAGAGAGATTTCTAAAGCTAATGGAATTTATTAAACCATGAAAACATTCCAATTATTTGAGTGGTCCTTCACCGCTGCAGCGCACTGCCTTGCACCGCAACTCAAATCACGAGATAGTCAAATTCTGTCTGACAGCAATGTCCTCTGCCACTGTATACAGACGTTTACAGGAGTTGTGCTGGTTCTAAGTCTTGCAAAAAATTCTATAAATGCGTACGTCTTTCAGTTCCGAAAAATAATATTCGATACATCATGAAGAAGAAAAAGATATGCTTTTTAACGGTGCTCAGGTGCTCAAAAAAGTTTGACGTATGTCAATGCGATGCAAAGAAAAACACTTAAATTGAATGGAAATTTAATGATAAAAAATGAAATTCGGGTAGTAGAATCTTAAAATTACAATAAAATCTCATTTTTCAATTCTGATGTATCCCATGATAAGCAAAAAAATTCCAGCCATTTAAATGCCTCAGATAATTACGATGTTCAAACTTCACTTTCGGCGTTTTGATTATCCTAAACTAAATCTATAATAGATACCAAAGATGCAGTATTTTACAAACAAAAATATATTATTGCTATAAAAATATATGATGAATCATCTAGTGGAAGCGTTGAAACGAATTTTCAATGATGAGCAAGAGAGCGAATATAAGAAACGCATGTAACTATCATGTTACAATCATTGATTGATCTCCATATTTTGATTTAGAAATGCCTTATTCATGCCAGGTAACAACTCTGACTCGATCGTAAAAAATTCTCTTGCGACAAGCGTTGCAGATGACGGTGCACTTTTTTCCAAATTTAAATTCGACAAATCCACGATCACAGACCACTTTCATTCGTGCCAACAATTTGACTTGAATAATGCTGATTAGTCACTTTGGGCAGACTAGTTCTTATACCGTCAACATTATTGTAGTCACTCAATCATTTTTTCCTACGAAATCTTGATATGAGGCGATTCTAGTAGATCGGAAGGTCTCTGAACCCAATGATGCAGAAAATTGACTTAAATATAACTCAGTATTTAGGTTGATGGAAAATATGATCTCTGCCACACTTCGCATCTTACGAAGATTTAACCGGTCTTCTTTGAAATAGTATCAAAAATAAGTCTCAAGCTTACCTTATCAGTTTCTACACGATGCACCTAAAGGAAAAATCTTCGGAAAATTTTTGTGTCTTCCGATTTCGTAGACAGGTAGAGCAGGGCTTGGCACAGCCGGCGCAAACTGAATATCGTTTTTGGGACAAAAAGCAAAGGAGATATCGTTTTTGTGGCTGAAAAGGCACAAAATTTGCGACTCTTTTAATCGACGTTTTATTTTTTGAAGGTTTTTTTTACGTTTAGGCTTAGAGTCAAGGAAGACTTCGTACAAAATTTCCAGGATCAAAGAAGACTTCGTTTTAAAATTTCCCTGGTTCCAGTTCGCGCCGAGCTAAAGGATCAGACTGCCGCCATAGGATGGAAAGCGCTAAATTGCACTAAAACATATAAAGATAGAAAAAACATAGGAACAAAAGAAAAAAGGAAAACTGAAGTATGATGAAACTGCGTAAGCTTGCTCTATGTGCGTATTTGCGGCAAACCATACCAATGGATACTAGATCCCGTCATCTGTAGGTATGAAGCAAATGTGAAGTTTCTAGAAACTAAGATTTTGCACTGTCAGAAAGAAAAAAGTGTGCAGAAATTACCGGCTAAATTAATATATAAAGGTACAAAACAGGCATGAGCTAGCTATGGAACATTAAAGAGAGCATTCCATTTTGCACCGCAACATCTTACTGTCGCCACTTTGTGTGGTAGGTACACAAGGTTCAAAGCATGATCAAATGTGATGATAAAGTGTACATTACTCTGTTGTTCTCTTTATAAACCTTTTACTTCGCGGAATATCCAGAGAATGCTCATGCTCCAAAGCTCAAAAAAATAAACTCTTTTCAAAGTCCGATCTCAACTCTACGAATTTTGTATCGGGCCATCACATAGATAGAAGCTATGTAGATTGTTCCATTTCTCATTTTATCCAATTTAAGGCCAAACGGAGAGCAATAATTGACTGGGATTGAAATTCAATGCAGCTACCTTTACCTCGAGTACATTTCCACCTGTGTTCAGCCAGCTTCGAGATGATCACAACTTGCTATCAAAGTTTTGCTAAGTTTCGCTGCTTTACGCTAGTTTTCGCTAGTTTCGCTATTTCAATTTTCGTACTCAAACAATCAGCTATATTTGTATTATAATTGTCAAGCTTCAATCTCTTCGAAATCAATTTTTTGAGGTATCGCGCAAGAACAAAGGTTACTGAAAAATCACTTCAGAAAGTGGTAATTTGATCGTAAGAAAGATGATATACTGTGAGGTTTTGTATTTGTTCATTATCTAACCCATTAGGTAACAAAAATAATTTTTGTTACCGGAAAGCAGGCACAGCGGATACAAACCCCTGCACCTTTTCGGATACCTGCTGATCACCTCAACTCAAAAAAACAACTGTTAGAAAGAGAAAAACTGCACAGAATATTACCTGGCTCACTTTTACAGTTCTCTGTGACTTACTGCACAGTCAAACGGACAAACTTTTGGATAACTCGATTAGTCTCTATTTATACTCGTATAAGACAGAATTCATTCCTCATGTCAGCACATTGGGGGATCACGAACTGAAGTTGCTACTGGGATGATTCTTTTATATACTGGAGACCTGATTTCTTGAATTACTGCGATGATTGGATTGCAAAAGGTGAAATTTATTATGAAGCTGCTTGAGGGAAAACATGAATAGTGTCATGCTTCAAAGAAGTTGTAGATTCCAAAACGATCGAGAGTCGATGTTTATCTGTAAATGTATCCCAAAAGTTACGCAAACGAACTAGTGAAGAATCGTTATGTCACCCCCTTCCCCACTCGTTCTCCATCACACAAACACTGAACTTTTGATGTCGAAGGTATATAATAACAAATCGATACGGTAGAACCACGTCCACAGTACTTTTTTATGTCAGTAACAATAACGCATGCTGTAATTATGCGCATACTTTGATGCCACCTGCAATGCAATACGTATCTTTCATCTGCGAAGTTTCACGAAAAAAATCAACCCGGTTAAAAAGTTGCTGGCTGCTGGATACGCCTACTTCTTGTTGTTACCTAAACACAGCAAGTTCGAAACCTGTTGGCAGCCCGAAGACGATACTGCGCGTAAATTTTACTTGTTCTCACTTCCTGTTTTGGATTCCATGCCATGTGTGAAAAAAAACCTTTTTAGACCCTAGTTTTCTATTTCACTGCTCCACTTCTCATCTGCTAGAATCAGACGCCTTGAAAGAAATCCACGCTAGATTCTTTCCCCAAGGAGCATCGTATGTTAGCTGAGAAAGAGCCTAGGATATATTGGTTTGTTGTTATAGGTTTACGGGACGCTCTGGTAGAATCACCCATTCACCTCCTGCTCCCTATGAAGATGTGGGAGACTGAGAGCCCCCAGAAACAGAAATTACGGAGATAAACCACAAGCAACCAAAAGGGTTGGCGCAAACTCAAGAAAATGACACACCGGAGATCAATTTTGTAATCAGAACGCGTTGAGTTCCCCTTGTCACTTGAGGTGCAACCCACCACACCCTGTAAAAGCTGGAAGCTACGGACTGGACTAGATCCCACAGTACCTCAGCGATATTCCATGATGGTAGAGTTCAAGAGTGAGCGAAGCAAAGAGATTGGAGTGCAGGTGAGTGGCACAGAGCACGACTCGAGCAGCAGGGGCTCCTCCGAACCGCTGGAGAGGGCTGAGGTCGAGAAGTGGCTGGATAACCGCTTCGCCAGGGCTGGCTGGCCTCGGAAGTCGACGTCATTTCCCGTGTGGAAGCCGCACGCGCGAGAGAGAGAACGAGTTCATCGTTGACGAGTTGTGCAAACGTTGCAAAACTTGATATAATATCAGGACTCGGCGGGTCGGCTGGCCCGTGTCCAGCAGCGGGGCGTGGTCCGAGATTCCCACGCTTTCAGGTTGTGCACAGTGTTCGAGGCGTCTGCGCCCTCGTCGGCGGTCGTGACACGGTCCGCGACCGGTATTGCCCCGCCCCGCGGACTGCTTGGCGCCGCCCCTCAGTGCGCACACTGGTTTTTCGAGTTTCGGTGTCTCACGCGCCGGCTGCCTCTGTGCCTCTCTGTCTTCTCTTCCATTCTCTCGGCCTTCCAGACCGGACATTCAGGTAAGCCTGTTCTGTCCGCCACCCCACGCCACCGCCGGCTCTGCTGGCTGCTGGGCTACTAGTTGCCGACGCTCCGCTTTGACCCCTCACATACCAAAACGACCTGCTTATCACGTAAACAGGTTCTCCTACTGCCAACAGGTTCATTCCGCTACCCACACGAGTTGTCGATCCCGAATCATGACACCCTCCCTCATGGGGCTGGTTTCGAATTCGACCGGCGTGCCCGGGTCAAGCCCGGCTCCGAACTGGGCTTCTGGCTTCTGGATATGCCGCAGGCACAGCCGCTTACGCCGCTTTCAACAATGACCGTACACCTAAGCTTTTCCCACATACTAGCCCCTACTAGCAATTGCCTTCACAACTGGTGCATTCCATTTCTGAACTGCAATTCCGCTGCTATTCTCGTTTCACTTGTTTTAATTTCATACCTACTTCCAAGAGAGCTGTCTTTTTCGCATTCGCTTTTCAAGACTTTCATGTGGCTTGAGCTTTCAAGGCAGCATAGACAGGAATATTTCTCGAGCTATCTCACCAGGTTTTATTGCTGAGTAAATAATGTTTTCGCTCTATGACGATAAACTACAAGTTCTCTAGTGCAAATCCAGTTGGCTGCAAAGCAAAGTTCCGCCACTTCTGCTGCGTTGCTTAGGACAACTCTTCAGCTCTAACACATGGTACTAGGTAGTAAGTGGTGGAAAGAAATTGGTCTTGATCCTTGCGCTGCGAATATCCGCGATATTTGGCTTTACTAACTCATTCGCCCGGCTCGAGCAAAGTTATTGAATTTTGTAGGAAGAGCGGCTGTACACCTAACGGCCACTACGATCGGGAGAGGTTGGGTGTGGAATGAAGCTAGGCTTCGACACGAACGTCGTCGCCAGCATGTCCCAATTCCAGCTCGAACAATCATCCGTCATCAAAACTGCCCCTCCAGGGCGCCAACTCGAGTTCTCACCTAAGGTATGCTATGCTAGTCTCCATTAAGAGCAGCTGCGAACGATTTGCTCAGTTACAGAATGAACCGATCGACTTGGCGCCGCTCACGCAGTCGAATCTGCAGGATCTGTCGAAGATGCAGCCAATCGACCTGAATTACTACAATACAAATTACCAACGGGCCTACGAGTACGCAGCGATCGGGCTCGGCGGGCATAATCAGTCGTCGCTAATCCCGACTCCGTCAACTGCCGGCCAGCTCTACTACGGCTTCCCAAATGGAGTCGTGCAGCAGGACTGGGGCCGGCCCATGGACACCTACACGGCCTACCCGAGGGCCACCACGCTGCAGTACAACCCGCAGGAGAGCCAGCAGGAGCGGGTGTACAAGGGAGTGGACATGCCAAGCCCGGTGGACTCCGGGATCGGAGCGGACCTGTCGATGATCACCGGGGCCAAGGAAGAGTTCTTCCAATCGGACTCGATGCTCGATCGATCGGCCGAGCGAGCGTTGAGTCACAGAGATTCGCCAGTAGTTATACCGAAATTGTAAGCAGCTTTTTAGTCGCCGGTTCTCGCCGCGGCTGTGTCGGGCCGTCGTCGCGCCGAGCGGCGCCGGTTCGATAACAACTCGGCTGGAACCCAGTTTTGTGTGTCGCCACCTCGCCCACACTCGCCATATTTGTTGTTTCAGACACAACCCGCTAGGTTTCCAATATGTTCTTGAAGCGCCGATCTCGACGTCGATCCGGAAGGAGGACGACCGCATGACCTACGTGAACAAAGGCCAGTTCTACACGGTCTCCCTCGACTACATCCCCGACATCAACAAACCGCTGAAGAGCGTCACCGTCAAGGTAGGTGCTGGCGCCCCTCTATCGACTGTGTTGTTTGCATCGCTGTAACTGCCCCTGCTGCCGCCGTGCGTGCGCTTGTCCTACAGTAGCCGCGGCGCTCCTGGCGGCCGGGGGTACTGTAGGCCAGCGCCCAGCTATTGTGCGTGTGCTTTCCCCCTTTTGGAATGCGGAGGTCGTAACAGAAGCGTCACCCCGCAGGAAATGGGATTCGAACAATCACCGAATGTGCGTTCGCATGTAGGGAGCAATTGAGCAGAAACGCAGAAAACTGAAACCTTGCAAATTCAGGTTCTCCTATTGACATTTTCATTTTCAGAGCCAGTTGATGATCGTTTTCCGAGAAGACAAAACCTACGAAGAAGAGATCAAAACGTGGCAATTCTGGCATAGCCGCCAACATTCGGCTAAGCAACGAATTCTCGAAGTTGACAGCAAAAACAGCTCCGGAATGATCGGCCAAATCGAGGAAATTGCCCACAATGCTGTGCAATTTTACTGGAACCCCTCGGAGAACGGTGTCAAGGTAATTTCGACCATGTTCAGCTATAATACGCTCTCCAATTTCACCATTGTACTCGATTTGATGAGCGCGGGTGTTTGTGAAGGCCGAAACTCATTTGCCTCACATTCGTCTAGCCGCTAGAGCGGTTTCTTTGAGGTGATTTAGCCGATTTTGAGACAAAGTCTTACAATCTACCGTATCCTACTGTTTTACTGCGCATACTAATGTTCTCTACTTTTTTCATTAGTTTGACGTAAATCACATCAAAATCTATTTTCGAGAAAGGAACGTGAGCTGACCTCTTCTTCAATCAGTAATTTATTAAGTATCATATTTCTTTTCTACACCGCTAATTTGTGTGTTAGTTAATTTCTCACCATCTTTTTCCCTAACCTTCTAAAATTGATCAACGCAAATTTCAAAAATTTCAAAGATCTGCATCTAGCTCTTCTTTAGTTGCTTCCATCCGTCATTTCAATATTCTCTTGTCTAGTCACCTCCATAGTATAAGATTTCCTTTTTCTTCACTTTGTTATAGCGTTCCATCTCTAAAGCGGATAGTGCCGAATTTTATCTGGGAAGTTGTCCGAGTTGACCACGATCAATTTTTGGTCATTTTTTTCATTTCTGCAATACCTTAATTCATTCGTACTCAGCTAGTAAATGTGACCGTATAGTTCGTAATATCGTTCACGAATCTCTGAGACTCCTGTCAGAATTTTAAACTCAAAATTCCTCCCATTGCACTTCTTTGCCACTTCCCCACCAAATCGCAATTCGAACAAATTCCTGTGACAACAAATTGAACACGTCACTCATAGAGGGGCTCAAGTGCACACGGGGCTCCGGCGATTTCCCTGTCTTCACATCTGATCGCGGGTGCCGGCTCCGGCCGGACCAGTTTCGTCTAGTATCGATGTCCGGAGGGTCAGCAGCGCACAAGCCTGTCCGTACCTGAGTGCGAAAAGTTTGCTTAGGCGGGAGTGAGGCTCGGGCTTTGGGACGAACAGCACAGCATTCTCCATGTTCCCCCCCCCCCCCTCGTGCGATCGTATTGACAGTCGACTGCGCGGGTTTTCGGCGATTAGTCGATCGATATCACATTCAAGGCTAACCTGCCGCCGTGTGTGTGTCTGTGTGTGTGATGGAGGTGCACCAGGTGTATGGGGAAAGGAAGGGGAGGGGAAGATAGTTCTGAAATTTTTAGGACATAAAATTGTTAATAATTGGTCAATGAGTGTTCCCCTATTTCAGATCAGCATCGCGACGCAATGTCTCTCAACGGACTTTTCGAACCAGAAAGGAGTGAAGGGTCTGCCGCTGCACGTCCAAATCGACACTTACGATGGCGAGAACGATAAGCAGCCCTTCCATCGGGGGTACTGTCAAATCAAAGTGTTCTGCGACAAGGTGAGTTCCCTCACGCGCTCCCCAACTCCCAATCCCAAGCTGTTCTCCACCCCGGGGTGAAATAAAATGAGGTAATGGTAACGACGCCACCACCGCCGACGACGATGTGCGTACCCCATGCGCTCGCGCAAAAACTGCCACACACAATTATGCGAACTAGAAAATGGCTCGAATTTGACACGTGAAAAACGCAATTGGCTGCCGGCTCGCACCCGCGCCAGCGCATGCGAACCGCGACGAACTATGAGGGACAATTCTGTGGAATGCGCACGCATCGCGCGTCAGCCGCGTACGATTAAAGTATTATCCAGTCGCGCTCGATGTGACACTGTCTCCTCTACCTTTGCCGTACTTCATATCAATGCGAGCGCACGTTCGATTCGATTCACCTCCACCACCGGCGACGATGGGGACACGGCAATTTCGTTGCGCATCGCACATTTTGACGAAATTGTTTCGACGAAGGGGAAACGCCGTAGTACGTTCGCTGTCATTAGACTGTCGCTTGGGAGAGATTGCTGCTGCGTGTACTGTAGGCAAAAAGTAGGCTGGTCTATAGGCTTGCTGAGAGTCACTACGCTGGAACAGACGGGGGATTGGCAATCTATTACCATATTCACGAAAATTTTCTGTGAAAATGGTTCCAAAAAATCAACTCTCACAAAATTTTTCGTTTCAAGTTTTTCGTTGGGTACATACTTGTGGATTTTTTGGGAAAACTTCACATCGTTGAAGAATTATCACACTAAACTAAATCCCCCCTCCCCCCCACCAAAAAAAAAATGATTTTCAAGAGGGTGATTCGAAGGTGAATACAGTGCATTTGCTTCGACGACGACATTTGCGCGGAAACAAATGCCTTACTTGCGAATGCCGGCCAACCATTTGCGCGCTTATGACTTGCGCGTAAAAAATGCTCCTAGGACGCATATTGTCATTATTTACGCGCAAATGTTGTCCGCAATGCAAGAACACTTTCTTTACCGTCAAACCTACCAGCCTAGAACTGGCTCGTAATTTCAAGATTTTGCTGATTTTGAATGTTTAATTCTTCTGAATTTTGCGCAAAAAATGAGAAAATAGGTGTCTTTCGATAAGGTTGTGCAAATGGGGACTGTCTAAAAAGTAAGTAAAACCCCTGCGAACACTTCTTGTTGAGTTTGCGGAATTCGTACAATGATGGGAAAGACAGCGTCTAGCCTTGATGTTATAGAAACGGGTATTGGAAAGTTCAAAGCCCATAAGTAGACAGTCCCAGAGTCCGTGTTTGGAAAGCCGTTACCAACAATCTAAATGCTCTTTTCTCAAGGGTGCCGAGCGAAAGTTGCGAGACGAAGACAAGCGAAACCAAAAACGCAAACTAGCAGGTAACCACTGTGGTAAAACCCAGAGCATTGTGCCGTTTTCGCAGTGGTGCGCCCGGTGTGCCGTCTGAAGGGGCTCAGAGTTAATACCGTAACCGTAACCGTAACACACCGTAGTGTCGTCGCGTCGATTGTGATCGTGTTAAGGCGAAGCGCCCAAGCGTTGGTTGTGTCACTTGTACTTAGCCATTAGAGGCGATGCGGAACAAGAGGCAACTCGGCCTTTTCGTACGTATAATCCCGTACAGTACAGTGCTCGTTGTGACTCGATGTTGTGCCGATGTGATTAGTGTGTCGTCCCCCGTGATGCGTCGTTCCCATCTACGTCTAACCCGCTTCGCTTTTAGGGTGCTAACCGGAAAATGCTTCATGAAAATAGACGAGACGAGAAGAGACGAATTCAAGGTACCAATCCATCCATCCATCTCTCTCTCTTCTAATCCGTGTTTTATGTGTAACTAGCCCTGTGTAACGTTGAGTAGGGCAACTTTTTGTGTCTGTCTCTCTCTGAGGCGGAGAGGAAGAACAGTGTAAGCAAAAGCAGCACTTGCGCTACTCTTAAGGGGAGTGATCAAAACGCGCAAAACAACCCCCGCGCACACACCGACGGTTCCACTACCTGCTCGGCTAGAACGTATCATGCATCACTGTGAGAGAATCGAAGGTTTCTGGAGTGACTATAGGGGAGAGATACCGCCAGAAAGGGCAGCGAAAAAAGCGACTGGAAAATCTCTATCAGAAAACACCCACTGTCGAGGCATTTGCAATTTAATGCGCAATTGCACACCATACGCGCTACTTGACGACTTGTAAAATTAGAAGAAGCTCATTTTTTAAAATTTCACCTTATTTCTTTTTTAGGAGAAACATTTCTACACTCTGTTACCCGAATAGGTTTTACTGAGTTGCTAGGGGTGTCGTCGATTGCCGTGTATAATGTGCAGACTCACAAACTAAGTTGCAAATGACTCAAGAACACATTGTTTTTGAAAAACTTCATTCATGAGCGCACTGTTTACAATAATGAACAATTAAATCATTCACTTTCTTTATTCACCTCCTAATCGGATACCGTACCCAGCAAACGAAATTGCGCTTTGATCACTCTCCATTGGCAGTGCTAGTGTTGCTAACAGCCTATATGTGTCCAACCACTCGATTACAAGTGTTCCTACTTAAGATTTTGCAGGAGCCCTGTCCGGTAGGAAAAAAACTGATGGGGAGTACCATGAACCGTGTGAACGGTCCGAGTTCTACCATATGCGAGAGCTGGACAAACCGGCCGCTCTGTTCATCGCCCCGGACGAGTACGACTCACGGTATCTGGACGGCTCATCGTTAGGCTACGATGGCTTGTCAGACATGGAGCCCGTGGCGAAGCGACCGCGACCGTCCGAGCGGAGTAAGTTCGTCGCTTGCGCGCGGCTGACTAGGAACTATTTTTAGTGTTTTTCTATTTTAGTAATGCTGTACGTGCGGAAACGAGACGACCAGATCTACACGCCACTGCACGTGATTCCGCCGTCGTTGGACGGTTTGGCCCAGGCGGTTGCGCACAAGTTCGGAATCGATTCGCAAAAAGTTGGTCGTTCGTTTTGCGTTCGCGTTCGCGGTCGCGCACGCACTCGTACTCATCCGCGAGCGGCTCTTTGCAGATCAGCGGAGTGTACAAGCGATGTGCTAAGGGAGTGACGGTGAAGATGGACGACGACATGCTGCGCCACTACTGCAACGAGGACACCTTCATTCTGGACGTCGAGCCGGCGCCGGAAGACTCGTCCTGCTTCGCCGCCACCCTCGTCGAGATCATGCCGCCGACGTACCAGTCCAGCTCCGGTTGAGAGGCAAGCGCCCCCGTGTTCTGTTGCTTCTTCTTGTTTTTACCGTTGTTTTCCCCGCGACCTGATCTGATTTCGTATTTCACTGTTCCGAGTGGAGAGACTCGTCCCGTCTCCAGCCCCATCTGCGATTCTTAGCCTTTCTAGCCTGTCTAAGTCTTTTCTCCGGTTCGTTACTGCAGTTCGCGCGATTCGGTGTTCCTTCGCCGCGCTTACCCCAATTCGATATGATCCTCACATTTTTTTGTGTTTTTACCTATATATACGTTTCACTTTGATTATTATTGCTGCGTTCCTTGCTCTATTCCATTAACTTTGCCTAATATTGAAACCTGCATTCACAAATAATTCCCAGATACGCCTATTTCCGCTAATGTTAAAAATCTCCTTATGTGTGTGCATGTGTGTGTACGATCGCTGTACATAGGATGTCAAATATGATGATTATGAATATATTATGATGAATGTGATTCTAAATGTATTTGATACAGCTATTTTCCCACTCTCAACCTTGTGATGATCAAATGATGAATGAAACGTGTTGCTTATACTTTTATACTAAATGAGAACATTTTAGAGTGCATAAATGTTGCTATTTAAGAGCGAATCTCGACAGCATACGCAGATCCGAGCGTTTCGCTCAAAAACAGTTGAGAAGGGGGCAACGGCTCAAAAAGGGCCAGTTCTCGTTCCGCTGCCTCCGAATCTGACGCATGGGCCACATTCCGCACGTCAGAGAGAGCACATCGTTGCCTAATGGTGGAGAAATTACCGTCGGTAGGGAGGGGGTAAAAATGACTGCTGCCTAGGATTTTGCGAACGTCGCCTTCGACTCGCATAGCTACCACAGGTCCACTAAATCAGAAAATTCATATTTATTATTTTGGAATAAAAAGTGAATAATACCTTGTCACATGTCGCACTAATCGATAGAAGAAAAATTTGCCTAAAAAGTGTGGAATTTCAAAATTTACTTATGGTCCCGTTCTGAGACTTGAAAGTGCACCTCTATGAGTCTCGTAAAGCTTTTGCGCTTTTTCTCTGGACAACTGGACCTTGCTAGCCGCAGCGATCACAATCCCGGCATCAAGCAGCTCGCGCAACGTCGCCTGTAATGAAAAAGGGGCCCCGTCGTAGATTAAAATGTTTGCTTCCCTCACTCGCGCAAGCACACACCACACACACAATACACACAGCACTCTTCGCCTTCGAACTTTTTCTCCAGGGGCTCCTGCATACACTAGCCGAGGGGTGACTCATCGTATCGCAGGGGCTACTGTAGGAGGCGCATACCGTACCCACCGGCAGCAATTAGGAGGGGTTTTATGTGAAGCACATGGCAATGCGCGCCTGAATTTTTGCTAGAAACGTGCCCTTTGGCTGGTTATTCGATTCTACAGTACTATTACAGTACCGTGGCTCATGCAAAAGCTGGCGCGGCTGAAGCGCGTAGTCTCGACTGGAGGAGAAATGAAATCCTATTGTTGTCCGCGCGCGCGCACAAAGACCTGTTTGCACGTCAGAAACTGACTGTGCGCTAGGGGAGAACACACGACGGACGAGCATCCGGCAAGCAGCCCCCGCCGATCTCTTGGATCTCATGCGAATCCCCCGCGGTGGGGACCGTCGCGGGGGATCCATGCGTCGTCTCACGGTGCGCTGCCAACTCTCTCTCAATGCGGATTCGCTCGCGCTCGCGCGGCCTAGCGTTTATCCCCCGTGGCGGGATATGTTTTGAAGGAAGGCTCGTGAGTACGGTGTGACCTAGATGTGAAATTGATGAGCGGCGACGTGTAATGCCGCCACCGCCGGTGCGATTTGTGCAGACACACGGGAGATGTGCAGAACGACACGAAATCTCGCTATATCGCAGCCCTGACGGCTACACATAGGGAGGGGGGGGGGTAAATAAAATCGCAAAAACTACGCTCACCTTTAGCAGCACTGGATGCGCTACAATATCCGGCTTTAGAAGCATTAAGGACCACATCTGACTTTACTTTGCAGTAATATACGCGAATACACAATTTGTTCTGTCTTGTTGATTCAGGCGGTATCTGCAGATAAAACGCGGTACTTCAAAAAACCATGTCCGAGGACCACATTACGACTGAACTGGATTCTCGCTTTCCTTTTTTCAAAGTTTGCTCTGGGAGTACGTCACAAGACCGGAATTCCAAATATCCGCTACGAACTTTTGTAAGTGACTCAGAGGGTTTTCACAAAAGATTTTTCAGAGTACTCGTCGTAACTCCCTATGAGACTGAGGATCTCTGTCTGAAAATTTGAGCTGAAACGGAGATTTTTATATTTTTTTTGGTTTCATACTACATTTGGGTGCATCGAAAAAAGAAAAAATAGCTCAAATAATTATCGAAATGGGTGTTGCGTAATAGTACAGGTAGAGAAATTTGCAAAAAAAGCAAAAAAACTCAAGATAGTGAAGTCAGTTGCAACTTTTGGTGAAATTACATACCACGCGCGCCACCTCACGACAGAATATTAATAGTGATGGATTCAGTAAATGCTGGTTGGAAAAATGTTGAGAAATATTTTTCACACACGTCTCCATCAATTTGAGCTCAAAAAAGAGGAAAATGGAAAGAAAATCAGAATTCAACGATTTCTTAGCATATATGTCGTGGAATACTGTGTATATTGTGCAATACAAAAACTGAACAATTAAATTGTACCACGGTCTTATGAACTATATACGCATATATATGTCATTTTTCCAGTTTCAAAGCACTTTCACTTAGTCAGAGAAAACTGTTCTGCCGTCGAACTCCCATGCGCCGATTACTGATCCTCATACCATATGGAGTAATATTTGTGAAAGGACCAGTCATCCTCGCGAGCGGGTGATGCCGCAGTTCATTCCTTAACCCCTCAATAACAGAATATTGCAATGTTAGCGAATCGCTTGATCTCCTGCCCAATTTTTTTTTCGATGGAATATCTCCTCACCTCCCCCCCCCCCCCCTCCCGTCTTCACATACCTGCACAGTGTGTCAAACATCAATGAGACCCCGCGCTGCGCGATGTGTTTTGACGGCATGCGCGATCAGAGTGCATATTTCCGAAGCTGAGAACGAGTCTCTGGCTGGAGAGCGTGTGCGCGGCGAATCAACCGTAACTGCTGCCGCCGCTACTGCCCGTGGTGACTAAGCATTGCGTCCTCCAGTCACAGAGCTATTCGCCTCCCCCCCCCCCCTCTTTCAATATCCATGCATCCGTCCGCATCGCCGTCGTTGCGGAGTTGTGTACGCGGGCGCGCAAGCGGTGTAAATGCGTATGATTGCGACCTGAATTCGGCGTCCGTCCACTCGCTTTCCGTTCTATTTATTCTTGCGCTCTGATTTCGCGTTGTTCGAGTGTGCGCGACCCCATCATCGCCGCGTTGTGAAAAGAGAAGAGGGGGATCGAAAGCGAACTGTTCCCTCGGCCGAAAATGGGGACTATCCGCATACGAGGTCACCTATTCAACGTATATTATATAGAACAACTAGAAAACAGGCTTTCGAAACGAGGGAGAGGCGGAGGATGAGGGGGGGGGGAATTGAGGGAATTCATTAACTGGAACTTTGCAAAGCTTTGGAGTTCCAAGCAAATAATGTGCCTTTCCTTCGCGCTTAGTAAATTAATATCAACACCTTCATAAAAATATTTTAATTCCTAAAAAAGGGTGATGTGCTTTCTAAAGCAGATATACATACGAAATAACAAAAATATAAAGTTCACAGAAAAGTCCAACTCTTTTATGGTACTTTGATGACTCTGATTAGAATTAGCTAACAGTGACTTGATAAAAACCTTTCCATTAGCTGTCTTGCCTAATGCCTTCAAAAAGGAAACGTCAAACTGCACGCAAAGCTAATGAATGCTAAAAAATCTGCAGAAATATGAAATTCCCCTGGTTTTAATCCCGTAGTAGCTTAGAACCCACAAACGTAATGTAGATAGAAATAAAAAAGCAGTTTTTGCACACCCTTTTAAATCCTTATAAATACAGAAAAGTGACCAATCATATTCAATATAGAATCCCCTAAACTATTGAAACATTCCGTAATTTTTCCACACTTTTGATGTGCATGAAACTCTGCACGAGTTCAGCTGGGAGTCAAAAGAGAACACAGTTTTCAGCTCAGAAACAGTGCCGTTGAAGATCCAACAGACAGGAATTTTTTACTGACTTCAAATTCGATCAAATTTTTGAATTCAATTTTTGAATCTTTACTACACATAATAATACACCACTTGATCTATGAGAAATCCTCTCCGGACCAACATAAGCGACTGTACATAATAGCCTATCTCCCGCATATATCTCATCAATAAATGTACACGAGGTGACAGCTACGCATTTGGAAATGTATGATTTCTCTGCTAGTGTAGTTCTTTACTTAAGATAGAAGTTCTCACTTTTCCTCCATAATTTTTCATAAATTCGAGCTCAGTTTTCTGCCCATACAAGATTTTCCTATGTTGTTATATACATCAAATCTCTCGCAAAAGATTCTTTTGCTCAAGATTCTAGGTATTGAAAAGATATCAAAAGCAAACTTGAAACGCAGCTTTAATGAGATGCCGTAGAGATTTCTTCCAAATTTTTTTTTTGAATGTTTCACAACAAAAATAATAGATATCACTCATTCAACTGTAAATAACTAACATCGCAACAATAAAGCGTTCAAACAACACAAGAAAATTCTTCTGCAGTTTTTATTTTACATTAAGGACGGTAATAGCGCTCTTCAAGTATGTATGTGTATAATATCACAAATGTACAACACAGTAGTACCAGCACTACAAACTATATAAGTCTATGATTGCAATGGGTCAATAGATGAGAACATACAAGTAATCAAAACACCTGTAAGGTGAACGCAAAGACATAAGATGCTCCATTCAAAGTCACCAAAAAACGAGCTACATTCACACAGCATTAGCAGACAGGTTTGTGATACTGTAACGCTAGAAAACGATGGCTGCAGAACAACTAATGTGCTCGGAAACAGCAATCAATAAATTCTAGAAATCAGCTAGCGATAAAAGGTATGGGCAAAGTAGCACACAGATTGAAAGAAAACAGGATAAGAATTTTATAAAATTGTGAGTTTTGTGAGGAGGCAAAAGCCATACTGCGAGTTAGCGACAAGGGACATTAGGCTTCTCAAATGCAACATAATATCACGCTACTTTGCAACCTATAGCTGGTTTGGAATTGCTCGTGTGCCAGCTCCGTGCCAGTGCGGCCGGAACTTACATGAGCGCACCGCGTATTGATTGACCGACTTCCCCGGAGCAGTTCCGGCACGGCAATGGCACGGGCAACACTGGACACTTTGACAAACTACAATATCGCAAAGAAGCGGTTCAAGCATGGAGCATACCTAGAACATTTCGTTCACCATGTATGATTACGCGACGCAAACACTGGACGATAAAGAGCTGAGCAAAAAGAGTTAAAATACTGAAACGCAAAAGAAAGTGCGGTACTAGTCGATCGAAAGAACTAGGTGTGCACGAAGAAGTGAATAGAGCTGTTTCTGCATGCATCAAATGGCGATTCACTTCTCAGACGAGAGTGAAGCCCTGCGTGTGTTGAATCGAAAGTCGTAATCGACGAAGCAGCTCCTTGCTATCTGCAAGGTTAGGCAGATCCAGTAGATTAAAGCATGTATGCGCCACCGGCAAAACTTCTGGCGCGGATGGCTGGATGAACATCTGTAGGGAGGACATGCCGCCGACGGGCAAACGAGTCGATCCCATCAGGAATTGCAAAAATTGCTGGAAATAGTTGATTTATTTAGAAATAGTGATCAAGAAAACTATATTTAAAGGAACTTTTCCCACCTTCCGCTCTTCCACAGTAAGTCCAAAGAAGGCTTCCCAAAACGCAAGAATTGTTGGATGTTTCGCATGATATTCGCCTTTGTACTGAACGATCTAAAAACATCTGTTTAGAAGAGCCCCGATATAAAAAAAGGAAATAAAGCAGATTGAAAAGAACCAGAAAATAAGATAGTTTCGAGAGTTTTTGAGCAATTTTATAGTTTTCGCTATTCCTTATTTCTTGTTTCTACACCTTTTCCTCACAAAAGCACCCATGACAGACAATGTTTAAAAAAGGAAAGAATAGACTTCATAAGAGCAAAATTAATCCAGCAAATTAGATGTATGACTATAGAAGGCAATCAATTCTCCAGCGGACAATTTGTCGTCATTCTCAATCCAACCAGTCATTGTTCCCTATCCCTTGTCACACTACCGGATTCCCGTTGGAAAACTAGCGGATGTACCGGATTACATGTAAACAAACAAATGACTAATATCCTTCACCTACAGTATCCCTCCCATACAACAAAGCAGCCTCCTACCATGTGCCACACAGCGAAGCAAACATTGGGAAAACTCTACTCCCAAATTTGAAATTCTAGACATTCCCGCATCGAAAAAATAAAGGTTTGGCTCTACGTGCAGAAGACGACTGAACGCAAAATCAAATGATCGTTACAGTTCGATTGCACGACACCGATTGGAGAGTTGCCGTTTTACTCTCCGATCGATGGGGGCAAAAAACTTGAAAAGATTTGGGCAATCGATGGTAGGAATAGGGAAGATGACATATGAACAAAAGAACAAAAATAGCAGGAATCAAGAGATATAAAGAATGAAAAAAGGAAAGAAGGAAAAAATATGGCATCATGTGTCTGATATGAACAGTGACCAAGGGCGAAAAAACGAAGTGATAAGATGAAATTCAATTTTATCGAAATTTGGTAGGTGGATGGTGACGCCCAAGGAGCCGAGCCCACATGCAAACACACAAAACAAACCAATTATGTATATTACCATTACCACCCTCCTCTACATTTTCGAATACTTCACCTTCGTCCAAAACAACCAATTTGTCTCTTCAAACAAGCGTTCCGCTTGAGCGCTGAACGAACTGTGATGATGAGGGGACCGAACAACCAACACAACGAACAATTCTCCAATAATCACTCGTTTGTGCGGATACGGTAGAGAGAAACGAACAAAAGCAACACAATGGCCGAATGTGGGATGGATGGCGGCCGACTGTGTGGTCGAGGAGCAACCAAATGGAGTTCGACTGGTTGGACGGGTTGAGCGTCTACTGACGACCAGTTGAACACCTGCTGCAGAAGCAGATTCCCACGCCAACGAGTGGAATTCCCACGACGCCCGGGCACCTGTCGTCGTCATTTCCAGTCATTCGTTTCGCAGTGTGGTCTGCAAGTCGCCAACATGTGATCCAGTTCAAACGAAACTTTTGCTCATCGTTTGCCCCCTCAAGCGTAAACAAAAACGCCAAGACCGTTCACTGCGTTAATAAGAGAAAAGGGACAGAATCAAAGGATACGATGGAGGTAAGCTCAAATCGTTGCTGAGAGTAGGTGCTTTTCATTCATCATCAAAAACGTGAAGTTTGAGAGTGTACTAGTCACATCAAACGAGATGTGAAGCAGGGGGAGAGGGGGGGGGATAAGCTTCAGGTGTATTCCTTCTTACCAAGAAGAGATGAACCAACTTCGAACTAACCATGTTTTCAGATAATGACGTGGTCCAATGAACTATTAGAATAGCGAACAATCAAACACTAGCAGGCAATGATTGACCTCTACAGCTACTGAAAATTCGATCAAAAGAAAAAAAACTTCTTGGAAAATATAAAGGTTGAAGATCCAAAAACATTTTTGAGACAATTATGTGCAGTGGAATGCGCATAATGCGGGATGCGCAACATAAGAATGTCAACTCCGCTGGGCACGCATCGAAAGTTGCACCACGAAGAAGCAGAGTTCGATCTTTCGGTGTCGATTCTGGAGCGAGAAACAGAGGCAGCAGCTCGTAAAACTTTAGAAGCCGGATGGATCCTTACCAGGAATCCAAAAATGAATAGAAAGGAAGAGTGTGTTGCTATAACGAAGGAACTCGCACCATTTATGGAATTATGCGGGTTTTGATATAAGAACATCATCAATACTCACGTTAGCTCATTAATCATTTAACGCCTACAAGTGGTGGAGGCAGTCCCTTGCTCGGCGAAGAGGTGAGCTGTCTACGCGAAATGCAGCTTTGGACTTTACCTTGTGTATGAGACATCTGGTGGATAACTTTTAGTTGCTCCTCGCTTTTTAGGCTCTGACGAAGGCGAAAAGCCGAAACGTTAGCCTAATAAACAACTTTAACAATCTTGGCCATATAAGGCTCAAACACTGCACATAATTGTTCATCAAGATGCCAAGATTTATAGAAAGGCGAACTTGGAAGATTTTTGAGACAGATTACGAGATCGCCGCAATGCATTAATACTAAGTAAGCATGCTTGAGCAAACTAAAAAAAACTATTATCTGCGAAAAAAAACATTTCTCCCTCCTCGGAGATTAGAAAAGCACACAATCAAATCCAGCAAAAAACACCATCGTATACTGTTCTGCCAATCAGTGCAACTAGAAAGAGTCTTGGTCTTGGTTTTCTGCTACGACTAGCTCTCAAACATCTCGCGATCCGGTTCTCTCGGTCCTCGCGCACAGCGCCCAACCAATATTTACAATCGCAAATTGCACCAAAGAGGACGCGCAGACTTCAAGGGCTGTTCCTCCTTACACAGCATTTCAAAAACTTCCTTCTCAAAATTACGCGCGACCAGAACATTCGCCTAACAAACGTGGGCGTGCCGCCTTGTTCATTGGCAGGCCGTGCACTTTTTCTGCCTCAAATGTCCCGCTAGTTGTCGAACGTCTCAAGGTCTTTCGCATACAGAAAATCAGCGAGAGCTGTCAAGGGAGACTAATGCAAAAGTCCATGGTATCAGAACAAATTCCTCGGGAGGCTGTGGAAGTGGCTTTGGATTTTTACAGTGGTTTAGAAACCACCGAAGTCGAAACTATCTAAGTCATTGATCGCATCAAGTCAGCCGGACACACCAGTTAAACACATAAAAAAACAACAGATTGAGCAAATAATTTCGAGCTTAGGGATGAGATTTCACATTTTGAGATGACTGAAGTCTTAGGCAAAGGTGAACACTTACAAAGGGGCTTTCCAGTAAGGAAAAAAAGACTGCAATCTAACTGTTGAAAATGTCAATTAAACCTGGGGTTATGACCGTTCAACAGAAATCTTGGTAGAGATTTCAAGCAAGTATTATGCAAATAACTTGCAGAGCATCATGTAGTAGCATCGAGTATCAGTATCAACACATGGGAATCATTCAGAAATTTTCAGAACAGAAAATTTTGGGAAGTTTGAAAAAGTAGAAATGCACACCTAGGTAGCTAGATAGTGAGAGCATTTACTCTAGTAGCCTAGTAATTGTGCGGCTAATATAGTGTTCCTTGCATGGCCAACAATAATTACGCGTGAAAAATCGCCCGGGGAGCGGAACTCAAAATGTACGCTCTGTGCCAATTTTTTAAGCGCAGATGTTATCTGCATACAAGCATGACAATTTTTCCGCGCAGATGTTGCCGCAAGCGCAAGGGCATCCTCAGCGTCAATTATTGTTATATGATAAAAGGAATGTCTTTCTGTTTGACTGTGTGTACGTATGTTTCAGATAGAAATTTTTACTTCAGAATCGATCTGATCAGAAATAAAATTTCTATTCGAAACAAAACTAAATAAACTTAAAAGGCATACATTTCGGGGCGAGGTGGGTCTTGTATGCTACTTTTCGTCATTGATCGATATCGATTTGATCGATTTTTCCGAAGCTTCACTTACGAGGCTGGAAGTTGGCACAGGGCGTAAGTGAGCATGCTGATTACTATCTACTTGTCTATTTTTTCTCATTTACGGCGCACCATTAGTGTATGGAAATAAATAAATAGATAAATAAATTACGATGAGTTCTCGAAAGGGTCGGGCGGGGCCTAGTTTGCCAGCTAATAGTAGATAATACTGGACAAAAAAAGTTCTCTGCGCTCAGAACCGGACTTCTTCTAGTAACCAATTTCCTTTACTACCAGTGCCTCGCTTCACAGGAGTGACATGCAAGACGACGTTTTCGTTCATAGGATACAGGAAGTGGACCACCACGGTAGAGAATATTTTCTTCTGCGTCGTTCTTCCTATTTCGACTTTTTTTCCAACATTGTAGGCTTATATCCATGCGACTGAAACGAAGCGTACCGGTTCGAGTGAAAATCTCGCAACAAAGCACACGAAGCTATGCGCGCCAAACAACACAGATCGCATTTGACGGAGGCGCTGAGGCGCGCATCTAACGCCGTCAGCAATTAGTTCTCTCCGTCAGTGGCTCATTCCAAAACGCACGCACACACACACAACACGTGATTGCGACGCACAAAAAGCCGGTTTCAGCAACCAACACACACGACGACTACTTCGGCAAATGTAGCCACATCTATGATGCATTCAACGTCTACGTAATGAGATTCCATCACGATATTGAACAATTAATTCAAGGCCATTCCACACCAAGCAAAAGATCCTGAGATTATATGAGAAAGCTTGGCAGGCAAGTATGGTAAGTACTCTAACATATGTCGCCCAAGCAGACATTTCGAGAACATACGCGAAAAGCGCATCCGCTAAACCAACGGGTGTGACGTGGAAAGGAATTATTCCCCCCCCCCCCCCCTGATAAGAAGTTCTGTAAAGAAGGAAAGGAAAGCTGAACAAAAACAAGATGGCAAATGATAGAAAAGGGATTGTCGACAGCATGTATTAAGAAGATAATGCAAAGAAAGAAATCGTATAGCTATGTTTCCAGTAATGTAGACCAGAGAAAGGAGTAGAGGTAACCGACCAAACCGCCAAAAACTCAGATTAACTGCCGACCTTGCGCAATTCCGACCAGTCGTAGTTTTCATTGCCAATAACTAGTTCCATGAGTTCTCTGGGCTGGAAGAAGGCGACGATACGACTATTCAACACCATCTTGAACCCATCACGAAACGCTGCCGCTTGACGTCCAACTTCACCATTTCGTCCAACGCAAAGTCGATGATGAACGTATCGCTGCAAAGTTGATTTATTTCGGTATAGTTGAGGTACATGTCGGATGCAAACATCTGCTGGGCGCATGGAAATTCTCTAAACAATCACATGACACATGCTTTTGGATGAAAAAAATCAGGCAGTTCGAGAAAAGGAGCGCGACCACGGTTTGGACCTTCCACTCACAAAAAACCGAAGGAATCCATAGTTTCAAATGTGGCAACTTAGGATTAGAAAGTCTCCACAGATAAACAAACTACCTTTACGATCAAATAGCAGGCAGGTAAGAAACTTCCTACATATATTCAAATTAGCATTACTATAAATAGCTTCCCAGTACCCATTCAAAAAGATAATAATGAGACTCACCTGTACATAATCAGCCTTATTTGCCTGTGTTACGGGAATATTTTCTCCTCCGGGTTTCAGATCCACTGTTTCTGTGCTACCGAACGCAGCGTAACTAATTGTGTAATTCAGGCAAAACACCTCCTGCAAAGATCAGACTCATATCGGACTCTTCCTGGGCTCAGAAAGTACCTCAAAGTCATCGCCCTGATAATCGAGTAGTTCTTGCAAACTCCGCCCTTCCACAGGGCTCAACTCGGTCAGATCCTCTAACACTGGTTGTTGATCAAGAAGTATCTTGAAAATATCAAATGTGAAAATGGCGAAGAAGGATAATAAAACAGACTAACCTTATATAATGCCAATGGAAAGGGAAAGGCGACTAGTACACAGTTATAAACAGCAAGTCCACACAGTATGCCAACCATTTTGTAATAATTCACTTCTTCTATATCATATCCACTGAACCAGACTAAATGAGAGTCAGGATCCTCAACGAACATTCCGTAGCTGAAAGTTTCTATTCAGTAAAAAAAAATGAAGAAACCGACAAAAGTTCGGCACATACTCGGATTGCAGCAACTTTTGGAATAAAATCATGAAGAATTCCTTCTTTACACCACCAGCATCTTCCGCTTCTTCACTCATGAATTGCACCTGAACTTTCAGTGGAGAGGCTGCTTCTCATATCTGAGCAGCTCACTTTCAGCGGCCGTTGCAAGTATCGCTTATCAATAGAAAGCAGGCCATTTATGGTGTCTTGGACGATATGTTGCCTTCGTACAGTCAATTCGAAAAACGGCTGCTCCACGAAGAGATCGAAGCCGAACAATGTTAATCGAGCACCATTCATAGATGTCTGGAGACAACATTACAGTGGTCAGTCCCACTGGGTTCATACACACCTGCATAGACATCACTGCTTCCACGTACAGAAGCTCCCCTTTGGCAGCCGCATTCATTATGAACGGATAGTTGGACCAACAGGTCACGGATGCTTCCCGACCACCTTCCTGTAGTAAAATGAAGATACCCTAAGTTGTGCAATTTGAGGAATCCTGCTACAGCATATAGAGCTACCTGTGCGCGTGCCCAGTTCACATAATCCATTTTCAGGTTGTAATTGTCAGCAAGTTCGTCAATGTAGAAGTTTTCCAGAGGTATTTTGTTCGTAACCTTAACAGAAATCTCATCGTGAACACTGCATTTTTTGTCCTGTTATAGAATTATGAATTCAGTGCTTTGAGATACATTTTTTTGGCGATACTCTTGGGCATAATACATAATCAGCGAAATCGCAAACGTTTGCACGCTACTAACATTTTATAGAATAAAAAAGAAGAAAATACTTGATACTATGACAAGAGCAACTCACCTTGTTTATAGCACAAAGCGAGGAAAGAATTTCTAGAAATGACCGACATTCACTAGGATTGACTTTGTCTCTGACTAAACATCGGACAGCTGCGAGCATAGCTGTTGCAAGACGATTGAAATGTCTCACAGGTAAGACAACCCACCACTTTTCTGTAGGGAAAAAATTTTGTAATAAAAGGGAGAATTATTAGTGTTTACCTAAAGCATTCCGATAAGCTGGTCTGAGCTTAGATATGGATTCTGCGAACGGTAAGTGTAGGCGAGTGACAACATCACGAGTAACATTTGTAGCAAAAGGATGAATCCACACCAGTATTAGGTAAACTCGAAGAGATTCAACCGAGCATATGTTGGTTGGATTGAAGTCATCAGAAAAAACGGACATTTGGCAAGTGTCAACGAGCTGAAGAGATCAAGTTAAATAGCGAAGTTCCTTTAAAAAAGGAACGAACCAGTTCTCCGTACTGCCGAGCGTCAGATGATTCTCCCAGAGCAGTAAAAGTCTCCATAGCATCGTCCAAATTTACACCGAAAACTCGGCTCTCGGAGAGAAAACGTCGATCGTCTTCATACAAAAACGACCCATTTAGACAACTCACGGATGAGAAAACAGACTCCAAGAGGCTGTAACACAAGGCGAAATCATTACTCAAATATCGTAGAATTTATTTACCCTATTAAATCGAGTTTTTCATGACGAGATAGTAAGTCAATCACACTGTTCTTACACAGAAAGAGAGGAGCCCTGAGTGGACAATTAGGACCGGCTGCCAGTGCCTGAGATTCAATATTCTGCAAGAAAGAGGTATGGATAAGTTGGAAGAGAACGTACAGGCGTGCCAAGAGAACGAAGGATGAACGTCTGATCAAAGCCGGCGAAAACAGCTACGACATGGTCAAGTTCTTCAGTTTGTCGTGGAATCAGCTGATTCACTGCAGATCCATTGCCAAGCTGTCCATTTGCGTTTTGCCCAAACGGATATAAACGTCCACCAATGACGACAACGGAGTGATTCCTAAAACAAATACGATGCCATGGCTCTACGATAAATGATAACCATGACGATTATGCCTTTTGTACTTGATAAACTAAACTGTTCGCTATTCAGTTGCACATGCTCGCATAATCCTAGAACTTTACCGCTCTACGTAAAATTTGCTGAATAAATTGCAACAGTGTCCTAAGAATGGCCACCTTGCTACCTTGCTTCTACAGACTTCAAATTGCAAACTTAGTCAAAATTATCCGAAAAAGTAGTTTCGTGCCGGACCCACAAGAACGGTGGGTGTAATTGGATAAAATTTCTCCACCAAATTTCAATCCTATACAACGCATACTCAAGGCAAACTTCAACAAAACTTGCAAATAACGAAAGGAAAGTTCTACGCTAAGATGGTTTTTTACAACTAAACGCACGTTTACCATTGAATTCAAAGATCAGAACAAAACTGGGTCAGACTAGTTGATTAAATACGTCTCAGCAATTGTTGGAAAAATTACAATAAGCTACAAGGCCCTCCATCTAAACTGAGGGTGGTAAGACTTTGATGTGGAATAACAGGGCCTCTATCTAAGTAATCGCCTGATTGTGAGTCCCGGTGCAAAAGGTGAACCGCAGGGGAAAAATCTCCGGAAAAGGAACTTCCGGAGTGACTTTTCGCTTAGTCACTACTTACAGCAGGACTTGAGTGCTTACCTATGGCTCCGTTGTACAGATTATCAAAACTTATTACCCTCAATTTGGACACATGGTGCCTTCGACCAGTTGTGTCACACTGCATGCACTTTCGATAAGTTCAGGCAAGCAGGAATGTTGGTAAACGAGAATGTGATTTTCAAACAAAAATGTAGAAGTCACATAATATGGTAAAAAAATAGCTTACCGCCCACATGCTACTCTGGTCACAGTACTTCCCATCAGTTCTGGCACTGCTGCTGGGTTAAGATGTTTGTCGAACCTGTAAATTACAGAAAGGATGAGCAATCATAAGCTGGAAGAGGTTTGCTCTTTATGCCTATAAGTGTATATTTAATCCTTCAACGAAAACAAAAAAACTAATTAAAACTATAGCACAAAAGGAACAAAAAGGCTTAATGTACGAAATGGTTCTTATCAAGATAATATTTACTTCAAAACCAACTTGTTCCCGCCGCCTATTTGACCATGAGCATCTGAGCCAAAAGCGAAAAGTCTTCCTTCTTTAGAAAGCAGAAGAGTGTGCGAGTCACCGCAATAAGCTTCGATTATATGCATTGCGCTCATTCCTTCCAAGAAAAATGGGGTAGGACGAGCTGAAAGAGATGACCCCCTCTGCTAGTTGATATGTATCGAGCTTGAACATCACGTACGACGGGTATCTCCTGTACCCAGTTGACCATATTCATTGTAACCCCATACATATACGCCACCGCCGGCAGAAACAACAACACAATGGCGCCCTCCAGCGGCAACTAAATTAACATTAAAATGAAGAAGACTAAAATATCATGCTGAATAACAAACCAGCCTTAAAAAAATATAAGCGTATTTTACTTATAAGGAGAAAAAATATACAAGCAAAATCCTTCCAAATACTAAACATTGTTGGTATTTCTCTAACCTCTTACAACAGGGACTCCAATGAGCTGACTGACGATCTGCGGAGAATGCATAATAGCGCCATCACCTTGTTCTCCCCAAACTGCCACAGTACCGCCTAGATAGATCATCCGTACAGCATGTTTTCGAATATTAAAGGGATTATTTTTCGTAAGCTCTCAGAATACTTTCCAATGCAACAAAACTCTCGAGGAGTTAAATGAAACCTGAACGAACTCTCAAGCAGCGCAATGCAGTGACGTGGTCCGCAAGCAACCTGGACGACTTCATTGAGCTCACCCACACGCCGGAAAAAACACTGTATAATACCATCAAAAATGACAGATATTCTAGGTAACCGACTTCGGAGTTTCTTGCCATGAAATGTGGCGTGGCATTGCCAACTGACCATGTTCATTACTGCCCCAAGCAAACAATCTACCATCTTCTGCGACTGCTAAAGAATGTGCTCGACCAGCTGCTACCTGGATACAACAGTGTCAACAACAATCTCAAAAAGAGACAGGTGATCGCTGTAACTATACCTGCAGCATTCTCACACCACCGCTAAAAGATACAGGATAGATAGTGAAACTGCCGGGTCCACGCCCTCCCCTTCCGAGCTGACCGTCTTCATTTCCCCCAACACTCCACATCTTGCCATCTTCAGCAAGTAATATAGTATGCTTCTCTCCACATGCAACGCTCAGCACCGCTGTGCCCGCGTCGTCAAGAGGTGCTCCAACTGAAAAGTGATATCTTGAACAAAATTAACAAAAGACTCTAATATCAAAAGTTATGCAACTCCTTAAACAATACGAACGGAGCTTCGCACGAAGCCAGGTGCTATGCGCTTTCGCTCACTATAATTTCGATGTCTCAAGTATCAAAAAGCCATCAAATGAAATTTGGAGTCACATCGTAGCTAACATTTAAATACCTAGTTATACATCATGATGACGGGCTATATCACCATTGTTATATAGGATTAGTGTTTATTGATAAGACATGGAGGTAAGATACTAATCACATCGGCTAGTTAACGAGTTCATTTGACAAGCTATATGAGAATAGCTTCGATATTTGAGCTCAGAGAAACCATGTAAACCTGGATCAATTCGCGAAAACATGCCGTAGGGCCAGAAGAGTATAGACAGATAAAACTCCTCCTACTACCGTATGACTTTTACGCATCTGAGATAAGGAGGTGCACAAGGTAGATAGATATTTACTATTCATTTGCTGCATCCATAAAGCATTTTATATCATGCTTCAAGCACCTTTCAGCTTTTCTCAAAACATTGTCACTGCATGAAAATCAAAAGTCATTATCAAGACATAGCATAAGAAGATTAGAGATCAAAACAAACTCTAGATCCACAGCAACACACATATGAACGCCATTATGTTCGCTGTGAGTAATAATCTGTGGGAAAAAAAACCAAAGCGAAACAAGTACACAAAAGGCAAAAACAAAGTACGCACCTATCTGCTCCGGAAGCTTGACACATGCCGCACTTCGACTACCTAGTCCAAGCTGGCCATCTTCTGATAATCCGCATCCCAACAACTCCTTTCGCATACCTTCAAAGTTTCAATAGAGCTTCAGAATCATCCAAGTTTAGTACACTACAGCAAAACAGAGTTATCGTTGCTAGCAAAAAAATAACTTCTAGTCGGCACTTTAAGCCGCCAAGTACTGTTTTTGCCATCGGCTATCACCTGCACAATGAGAATACTTATCTGAAGCAGGTCAAAACAGCAGAAGCACCAGGATTCGGCCACATGCAAATTTTATACGAGGGAATACCTTCCTTTCACTTTTTAAACCTGCCAATCGTTTCAATTTTGAAGGTCAGAAAGGAAAAGACAGGTATTGAAAAACTAAAACGCATGTGGATCACTATGGCTAAAAAAAATCATTCAAAAAGTTACAAGACTGATCAAGCAGGCAACTATTGAAACAAGCTATACGACGACCACGCTGTGAGACCAAATTCATATTCACTCAATACTTGATGATGACATTTACATCGGCAATACTGTAGAATGACTTGCGCGGAAATTTTATCATTCAGTACGCAGCCAATGTCAACAATAATTTTCAACAAATCGCAACATATAACAACAACAAACAGGAAGCAAATCTTCTGATACTTCAAAAAAGAATCACAGCACTCAACATGAGTATTCATATGTTAGAGCTCAAGATGTGCAAACAATTCAGGTTAAGTAATATGAGAAAAAAGCCACTACTCAAAAAAGGATTACTCGCTTGTTTTACTACCATCAGCACCAGCTTCATCAGCGGTTGACGAATTGTCAACGTTCTCGGTACTATCCGCAGCATTTGGGACTGTATTTTCAGATTCTGCAATTGTTCGATCTGCCGCTGCCTGAATCAAAACTCCTAATTCACATACGATCAGGTTTCTTACAATTTGAAACGACCTTCTGCTTTCGCTTTGACCGCATCATATTTTCGATCTCAGAACAGTCAACCCCCATCATGCGTAACATGTGCACACGCTCTTCTTTTCCAACGTAAGGAGCTACAGTATGGAATCCAACCTGAGAAGAAACATCATAATGGGACACGAAAACAATATAGAATGCGATTTCTTAGGGGAGACAGAGATATGAAAATCATTGGAGAACCTAATCCTCCGAGGTGCACGTGAGAAAAGCTATTGTTTTTTTGAGTGAGTGTTCGTGAGCTGAACAGATGTGTTTGTGTGGAACTCTTTTTTGTCTATTGAGAATGATTGCGATAAAAGCAAGGCTGCTGAGAGTATAATTGCAGTTTATCTGAAGGAGATAGGAAACAGCCAAAAGCCAGCTTCGAGGTACGCTCAGACAAACAAAAGTTATGTACGCTGCTGCGATGACATAACCATCATTAGGCAAAATTTGAATAGGCTTCAAATCAATGAAAATGGTGATATAAATTAGTAAGATCAAATGTAAGCAAATATGAGAAAAAAATTACACATGATCAAGTTCGAACCAAAAGAACAGAAAAAAAAAAGAAAAAAAAACAAAGAATTACCCATGTACAGACTGGATCGGCGCGATCTGTGTATAGTACCAAACTTCCAGAGCTTTGTGCACGTATGTCGTCCTTACATTGGAGAGATTCCAAAGGAACCATTGTCTCCTCCGTTTTTAAGATTTTCAGCATGTCATCTTGACTAATTTCGACCTGAACAAAAGAGTTACATAGAATGCAAGAATTTCATTCACGCCAGAAGACAAAGAAATGTTTGCAATAGCGCCAAATAAAATAATTCAATGAAGAATTCCACGTACTATCTGTTTATCCATATAAGGAAGAAGGTGGCGAATACCTTCCTGTGAAAGACGGAATCGTGTCGCTTCGACTTTTTGCTCATTTCGACTGAACATCTTCATACCCGCATTTTGAATTGACACACTTGTCATATTACGCAACTGAAACGATCAACAGAGTCAAGAGCAGACCATTGCACTACAGACTTACCACAAAATCTTTAACAGCTGCGTTGGCGTAGAATAATTGCCGACAATTCATATCGTTTTCTGCTAAACGACGACTGAACAAATTTTCGTATTCAAAATCATCTCGAATACCATAGTGAGTTCTGGAAATGCAGATTAAGCTGTGCACTTGGGGACAGCAGAGTGACTCATTCTGAGTTTCAACAGTGCGACAACTCTGCACACAAGAACCTTTCTCCAACAACTCGCACGCACAAACCGTTCGCACCACTAGAGATTAGCAAAAGAACAAAAAAAAGCTACCAAAGATATAACTAAGAAGGATCACGGAGCTGTGCAGCTTTAAATAAAAAATGATAATGGGTCAAGACTTATAGAATGTAAACAACCAATCTGAGTCACTACTTGATGCAAAGTACGTAGGCATGCAACTAACTTGATGTCCGACCACCGCTCATCGTCCTTTTTCAAAAAAGTGAAAGGCTCGTCCTTGAACATCTTCTGCTTTTTGTAGGCAGGGGCTCTTGAAAATTAGTTATTCGTAAGGAAAAAGCAACCAATGACAGCATTACCCAACGGGCACGATATTGTTAAAGCTGCCTTCGTTGACCTTCTCTATCAAAGCCACAAAAAATCCACCCGTATCTTGATGATGAGGTACGATGCGCATACTGAAACATCAAAACAAGCATTGATGAAAGCGTAAATCACGATCTTTCAAGAATAACAAAAATTAGATCGGAGGTAGGTTTTGACTAGGCATTTCAACACTCACCAATTCTCAAGGTGCAAAGACTTCGCTTCTTCTTCTGATGGAGAAAAACATGAATCACAAACGATCCTCCGTAGAAACTCAGGCACATCCTCAGGCTTGTTGTAAAAGTTCATGTCGCGATCAAAGACCTAGGTTTAAAATAAAAACTGCTAACAGCGTAGACACAACAGCATTTACCTTCCAGGATGAGATTCCACGAAGTCCCTTCAATTTGGGAAGCATTTGGTGTGCGTCACATATTCGCAGAGCGCCACCCGATGTCCGAATCAACTGGGCAACGACCGCCTCATCTTCTATCGGATTCATGGAACATGTTGAATACACCATCCGACCACCAACTTTCAATAGCATTGCTCCTCTGTAAGAACATTTGTGACGAGAGATACAGATATACGAATAATTCTACTTCTGTGCGATAGAAAGTTGCATGCGGTGTAGTCCCAATGCATCCTGCGGTGTCCACTTCGACCAAATTTCTGGGTTCTTCCTGAGGGTACCATCCCCACTGCAAATCACGTCGCAAAGTACACGATCAAATTTCAGAGGCTCGCCGTCCTAAAAGCGAAATGCGAAAGTATAAAAATCAAAAGAAAACGAATTTCATTCATAAGCTCCGCCGTGCAAACCGGTTGGTAGTCGGAAATATCAAGATAGGACCATTTGAACGTAAATGTCGTTCCTTTCATTACCTCCCAAAGATGACTCCAGACACAAAAAAGGAGTGAAAGGTAATGAGAACGTTGATATCCATGTCAGCTAAATTGTATCGAAAAAAATGAAGAAGCAAGTCTAATTTTGTAGATCCAAGAAATCAGATGAATGTGTTTCTTAGCAGGAAAGGGCAACTCTTTTTATGAAACCGTAAAGAACTCTGAAATGTAAGATATGCCGACAGTAAAGGAATAATGTGATAGGTAAACAAAAGTATGAAAGAAAGCAATAACAAAGATTACCTTTCCCTTCAAAACCGGCATTCTCGCAGCATCTTCACAAATTACTGCGCAGCTTGCGGTATGGAATCGTTTCAGTGTTTGATGTATGAGCATATAGCAACGTTTCTTATCCACATCGTTAGCTATCAACATCCCACCTAAATTTCCGAGTTAATTACTCCGCAGAGAGTGCAGTATAATATGCTCACTTGGGTTATTGGTATTTTCATGCATCATCTCTATTAGTTGTGCCGTTTTGCTTCCCGGGGCAGCGCACATGTCCAGGACAAAATGATTCTCTTCTGGATTGAGAAGAAGCGGTGGTATCATACTTACTGCTTCCTGCCGAGATATATGCCCAATCTCTGCTTCTGTTACCTAGAACGGATAGTTTTGCGACTTTAGTCGCAAAAGACAAATTGAGACGGTACCAAAAAGTTGTGAAGATGGGTCAAGATAGGGTGACTCCTAACAGCTGTTCTGTTCATCTTCGTTTGATATGCGCCTGGGTACCTAACAAATGAGAAATTATAGTATGGATTGACGCTTTCAGCATACCATGGTATCGGTATTGGAGCATAAACATCCGAATCCTCTGACTTGGAAATTGGTTCGAAAAATTTTGTTTCCATTTCGTGCATCAAGCGATCTCGATCTCTATCGATACGCAAACTTGAGAATAATAAGAAATATGATAAAAGCATCTGTCTTACTTATGGCAACCCTGTACACGAAATGAAACAGGAAGATCAGTGCGGAGCGCGCTACAGAATGCATCCCACTCCTCTTCTGGGATGATATTCTGAGCTTTATAGAAATTCCAATACTTCTCGTTTTCCTTCACGATATCCTTGTACGGCTTATGCTAAACCCAACTGCATAGCATGCCAAGTTCTGGAAGAGATAAGGGAAGATTACATTTTTCCACTCGTCGCGAGGCTCCCCATTGTCATTTCGTGCTTGCTTATTCAGGCCTAGACGCCTCCTCTTTTTCTGGAAGTTGTTTCGGCCCATCTAAATTCTGAACTGATCAGTTTTCAAAATCGGTAATGATGCAATGTGCCTGGATGGACTGAACCAAGGAAGAAAGTGGAAATAGTGCGTTAAGACTTTTATTGACCGTCGAACATAAGCTTAGCGAGCAAATCATAACAGCTATTTACTGCACAATAACAAATTAGCCACTGACCACATGAGATGAAGTAACGCGCGAGCGATACAAAATTGTGAAGCAACAACTCAGACCGGCGTAAATCCACCAAGACAAGCACGAAGTAATCAAAACAGACAAGCTGACTATGTAAAGGAAAATACATGACAAACGGAAATGTAATGAAATACATGAGTTTGCTATCAAACACACACTTCAGCGAAGACTGATACGTAGTTGAATAAAGTAAAACAACCCTAAAATAAAAATGCCGAGTATAAACATTTCCATCTGAAAGGGCGAGTTCCATGTCATGTTAGTCACTTGCGCCACGAATCCGGTCGAAAAAGCGTCTGATGGCCGCACAGCTCGGGTCTTTGCCGATGCGCTACCAAATCATCGCTCGCTCAGTAAACATCGAGTAGAAACTGGTCGGTCAGCGAGGACTTCATAGCCTATCACCGCTGATCCGTAGCGATCGCACAACAGCTATAATGAAATTCATCATCAAAACTGCACGAAAACTATCAAAACAGTTATAACGCATTTTCTGGGGTAAAAAGCCAGTCGAACATGAAGAAAGGTGGTTGGTTAGATTGTTTCCGAAATTTTTAACAGTCTGGACTTTCCAAAACTAAGTAAAACGTGCCGTAAAATTTCAATGTCCAAATACATCACATTTTCAGAAGGAAAACTGCTGAGTAAGCTCGATGAAAGAGGCTCACTGTCAGAAAAAAGTAAAAAATGAGCAAGCGTTAAAAGCCCAGATAAATGCAGGGTTTCAACGCAAGAAAGTTTTTAATTCAGTTCTTTCTTCTTGAAAGACTTTACGCTCGAATAAACGGCGCATTATGGCTCATATTACGCTTTTGAAGGATAAAAAGCTTGAAAACCATAGTGAGTCAACGGTAAACTCCTACATACCGTTAGATGGCCATCCACAAGCTCAAGGTCCCTGCGAGAGCAGCAAATTGGCCATATCGTTTTCAATATCCTGACTGAATGCCATGTGTCGGTAGTCATCCTGCTGAGAGACGGCAGTCACCGGTCTTTGGGACTGCATGGAAATTGATGGCACATTTTGTGACTGCGACTGTGTCCAACCAGACATGGATACATCTCCGTATGCATCGACACCGACTAGCGGATCCTGTGAAGCCTGAAACGAAATGGATCCATTTTAGACAAAGCCGTAGTCCCTATACTGTACTACTTTACAAGAACTACAGAAAACCAGGTGAAGTAGCGGGAAACTCACTTGTGAGGCATACATCCCTCCATAATCGTTTTGAGACTGTCCCATACGAACTGATGGACCTCCCACTGTCTGAGGAGTTGGAGGCCACGCGGGCGCATTCCGCCGACCAGGCGGATACCCTTAAAAAGCGGTTGAATGAAGGTGTTCTGAGAAGCGACCAAAAGCTTACTTTGCTGCTGTTGTGGTTGTTGAGGAAATGGAGGAGGAGGGAACATCTGCAGCATATGAAGCGGGACAGGTAGGTTAGCCGCATGACGCAAGGATTGTGCAGATATGGCAGAATGGGGATCCATTGGTGGCACATCTCTTGCATAACCACCACGATATTCACGTAGAGTGTACGTGGCTCGTTGGATGCCATATCGATCAGTCTAGCAAATTCATTATATTCAAATAGATTTTATTATAAATGCAAAAAGTATGATAATTACCGGGTATGCCGGATTTGTGCGTTGCGGCTTAGGTTTCGGTAACGTGATCTGTACCGATTTGAGATTATTGATTGGTCCTTCCACAATAACATTCTTTTGGTTGAACGTAGTCAAAAGATCATTCCACAACGGTTGTCGAGCCAGTACCTGTAGATGAAAAAATACGCTTAAAAAGAATAAATGACCAAATTCTAGCGTTGATCAAGGCTCCGCACTCAAACTCCTACCTTAGCATTACCGATGATAATCAGCCCATACTTCGCCCTGGTCAACGCAACGTTCAAACGCCGAGGATCGTTGAGGAAACCTATGCCCGAGTGATCGTTGGACCTTACACAGGTTACAATGATCAGATCTTTTTCGCGGCCCTAAATCCTTACTCAATCAACATTCTTGACAATGTTTAAAAGCTTACATACCTGAAAAGCATCAACATTGGCGATCTCCATATTCTCATAAAGTTTGCTGTTCAGCGTGCCTTGTGTATGCATGTACTGAACTATATAAGAACGCTGGCCTTCGTATGGTGTTATGATTCCAATTTGTTCAGGGCGCATGCCTCCTCTGTAAACATGCAACTTCAAAAAACTTCCAGAAGTAGAAAGAACGACCAAACCTTATCAGTTTACTGGCAAGCTTCTCCACATTCGCCGCCTCAGTTCTATTCAAAAATGAAGTACCGCTAGCGCTCATTTCCTCTTGTCCATAACACGACCAAAAGATCATCGGCCGTCCAGGGACGGGCCACTCCCAGTCCACCCCACGAAGCTGACGCTCAGCTAAAGCAAAGCTTTAAGTGAATGAATAAGGCTGCATAATCGTTGCCGACTTTGAGTAACTCCATTTTGCAAACTGCCTTCATAGAACACATTGCTTGGGAAGGATGACAACTCTGGATGCATTCGGTATTGCACCTGAAAAAAACTCGATTTGTCGGAACAAATCGAGAAAAGAACTGAGCACATACTTGAAGACGAATGGGTCGATTTCCTAACAGAACCAAACGTTCAAACAACGATTGTGATAACCCAGCCTTGGATGCCTGTGAGAGAACAGCCATTGAAATATTGAAACTTTTTACAAATTAATCAAAAGCTAGAGCTCACCTTCTTGCAGAGTATGACTGGTCCTAACTGACAATGATCACCGACTAAAATGAGCTGCCGTACACCACGAACGATCGAAACAAGAACCTCGGGCTCTGTTGCTTGCGTTGATTCATCAACTAGTACACATCTAGAACAATTCGGTATAAGTTGATATCGTCACGCATTGATCCCTACTTGATTTTGATTCTGGATAAACGTGCATCAGCAGCCGACGAACACGTGCAGCAAATGACATCTGCAGCTGCAAGCAGTTTATGCTCACTCATTTTCTTCAAGTTGATGTAGCGTTCTTGGTCGGCTGCAGACAATTCTCCAATTTCCTCCTAAAAGACTGCATGTAGTGATGTTCTATTCTCCCGCAGCTTCGCACCTTCAACTGCTGCAGTTTCTGCAGCTCTGCAGATTCCTTTAGAGCTTTCAACTGAGCATGCAGAGCCAAAAATTCAACATTCGTATCCAGCGCCTCTCTTGATTTTGCATAGAGCCGCACCACCTATATATAAATTTATCATCGCAAAAAGATGCTGCGAGATTTTCGACCAACCTTGAGTCCGGTTCGATGGATCTTCTCCGCCAGCTGGTCAACAGCAATGTTGGAAGGAGAGCATACCAAGACTTGGCCTTGGGTTTGTTGCACAAGATGATAAACAATAGTTGCGGATGTGACAGTCTGCAAATCGGAGTAAAGGAATGTAGTTCAAGGCTTCTCGATTGCATTCAAGAGCCAATATACATACCTTTCCAGTTCCTGGAGGTCCCTGAATGAGGCTCAGAGGTCTCATCAGCACAGTTTTGACAGCGTGCATCTGACTGTGATTTAGTTCAGGAAGCCCAGGAGCCGACAACCGCTTCGGCTGTTGAACCTATACAGGGTTAGATAAGCGCAAATATCAAAGTATGGTAACGGTAAAAAAGGCTACCTTGAAGAGGATCTCATCAATATCGTGCCCCATTAATTTGTGGAATATGTATTGGGAAACGCAATGAGGATCTTTCTCAAGGGTATTCAGAGCCTGGTACATCCGATCAAAAGATGTAGAGTTCCATACAGCCTAAAATTCAGTCACTTTCATGTTGAATGGGTGGAAGTTAGTATCAGGTAGTCTTACCTCACACGTGAAGTTTATGCGTGGATCTGTAGGCATTTTCTCTGAGGAAGCAGCACGCATCTCAATACCAATTTCATCACTGTGATCTAAAATACGTAAAAAGATCACTATCGAGATATTCTGATGATGTTGGATAATTTGGTCTGATCGAAAAATGGACAGAAAAGTCACAGGAACTCACTGTCGGGGATTTTGAATACTTGTCCAAGGCATGACCACTCTCTTTCGATAGTTTGACTGTGCTTCAGCCTCAACTCATCTCCTATCATCAATTTCATACCTGAACAAACACCAAATATGGGATAAGTGATCAGTACGAAACAAATGCAAAACAAACAATCACTTACTTCCCTCCATAAACTTGGGGAGATGGAAGAACGCCAAATGTTTCTTGTTAAGCCCTTGATCCCACCGAACATGTCCAACACTTTGCGTCTGCGACTCCTTTGTTTTTCTGTCAAACTCAGCTTCTTCCCGCACAAGCGGGGCAAATATTCGTCGATAGTGAAAGGCGTCTTCATATCTAAAAAAAAGTCAACAGATATGCAAGAAAATGAACTGCGAAACTATCAAAAAGACAAACACACGAGCCTACCAAAAAGCTGCTCAATAATGAGGTGGAAGAACTATTACCTGAGCAAAACACTTTCAGGCTCCGTGTCAACGCCTGGTCGATCGAGATCATCAACGGTTGCATTCGGGTGTTCCTTCCACAGATCTTCCAGACGACTTGCCTGCGCTGCCCTGAAGCAATAATTCTGGTACTTTCGCTACAGTGAGTAACGAAAGAAGGAACTAACGTGATGTGCCTGGCTCTCAGCTGCGCTTGCTCTGATGGAACATTGACAATCCACGATAAAAGCTAAAATTGATTATGAGGTCCAAGAAAGATTTTCAAACCCAGGTTTATGCAAGTCCTTTCTATCGAAGATAAGAAACAGATAATATTACGATGACCAAATCTCAATCGTTACCTGTCTTTCATATATCAAAGGCTTCCATTCCTCGCCTTGCCAGTTAGGATCTTTCTGAGAGGCGATTTGTGCACATGGATGTCGGCAAAGAATGACCTACAATTTTGTGAATAATAGATAACAGGTACCTTTACAAAAGAAAGAAAACTAGTACCACTAGCGAATCAGCCTTGGCTGGAATAAAACCCAGCATAAACACATTTCGAGAGGCGCATTGGTAACACTCCAACTGCGTTTCTCCAAGCGGTGACTCACGGTGTAGACATACCTCAAAAAGCAGTCATGAATAAGTGCCTATCAAAGTCATGGAAAGAGCAAACAATTCACTTCTTTATGTTGCGATCGAACCAAATGAGTGATCAGATGGGATCCTGATGTACTTCCTTTTCCATTGCAAAACCAACGATTGCAAACTGTACACATAGCAACACAACTCGACTCGTATATTCCGCAATAACTGGAAGAATTCATAATTCACACAATATGACAGGAGACAATGCAAAGGTGATATAAACGAGAAGTCCATCTTGTAAACTAGATAACACTCATGTACAGAGCACAGTGGATAATTAAACTTTGAACAGGAAGATTCAAGAAAACCCACCGGCATGAATGTTCCGGAAGTTTTTCCACATGTGTCTGCTCTTCTTCCTCGACATCATGAAACGTTAGATCTGCATTATTATCCACTCCACCCGTCAAGTTACCATGGGTTATCTGCAAATATTGAAACTTAAAAGCATGCAAAAATTTGACAATATTGTCATGAGATTCAAATATAAAAATATCTGTACCTGAGAGCTTTGCGTTGGTATAGAGAAGTGCTGATCAAATGCAAACGTAGAATCCTGGGTTCCCCCATGAAGAACACCATCATCATCAACAGTTTCTACGAATGTTAGTGTCTCGCCCACTCCACCTCCATATACTTCGTCGAAGTCCATACGATAGATCGAAAAGAAAAGAGGCGCGTATTTTGCCTGGAAATTCGTGTATCTCTACCACCAATAATTGAAGAAATCAAGACGGTAGGATGTTTGCACAAAGACTTTGAAAAATTTAGGAGTGAGCTTCACCGGTACTGAGCACGTGAAAGTACAACAGCGAAACGTAGTTCATATCATTATTTTAGTACAAACAGATGAAATAACTGCACTTGAGAGACAAAATTGATCCCTGTTAGAAAGGTACACAGCACATTCAGAAATCACGGTTCAATCAATTCTCTCTCGTATTATCTCTCAGTCTCAATTTTATAGGCCAAACCCTCAAAGCAAATTTTTCAGCGAACAATGTTATGAGGCTCGTAGTCAGTTGTGAATATCAAAGAGGAAGGTCTATAATTGAATTTTAACACATCAAGCACGCTAAGTTAAATAAATCCTTGAGGGAAAACTTGTACACAGAGGTATGCAGGAGTCAAACATTCTATTCCACAGCGAGTTCCCAAAAAGATGAAGCCTTACGCTGACCAAAAAATACATTTCAAGATATCACTGTTAGCAGATTTTGGACCAACGAATTTCCTATTGTGATTGATTGTAGGGCTGCGGGGTTGCGTTCATACTGATCCGGTAGTTCTGGAACAGTTCCAAAACAGCGCTCAATTCGAGCGCCTCTGTTGGAACTGTTCCCGAACTACCAGATCGGAATGAACGCAGCCTAGGAAGTAAGCCACCTTCTAGCCTTTCGAAGTGCCAGCTGCGTCACCCCTATTTGAAACTCCAATCCAAATACAAACTGAAGACACCGGCAAGTAGCTTTTCCAAACAAATTTGCAGTTTGGTGCACCATTTCCGTCTACTATTATAAACGAAAAAGTAAACTATAGACTGAACTGGTAATGTTTAGCAACCTACTTCCCTCTTGTACACACTTCAGGAGAACAAGAGAAAGTCATTATGTGCAACTCCTCGGCATTAACTCAAACCAGATTAGTACAAAAGTATTAATCAAGATTTGAAATCATAATTTACGTCCAGATATCAAAGTTTAGCCTATTTGACGGCTTGAAAGGTGACTGCCAAGTTGCCCAGAAGTTTTATTGAAGTTGGATCGAGGAAAACAATTAGAGATCATGAGGAAAGGACATTTGCACCTCTAGGGCTCAAAAATCAGATTGTGCAATAGCAGATACACTGTTACACTCAGAATAATTTCATAAGAACCATGATGAAACAAGATGACGAAAACGAAGCAGCCAGGAGCAAAACAGGACGTACGGTATATGCCCAACTTCCATCGGCTGCGAGATAACGTGCTCCAAACAAACATAGCCCTAACCTAGTGTAAAAAACTATGTTTTCGACTATTTTGTGGATATTAGTCCGTACAAAGTATTTTCTTCAGATTTACTATTATGGAGAATATCTGAAACTTTACTACAGAGTTCGCTCTCCCCCACAACCTTGAAATAGCTTTTCGCTGCAGTCGCACGGTGAGAGCAATTTCCTCGGCGATTCCGATCTATCATCATAATGATATTGGATTATCAGGGTACCTATTTTACTTCTGTACACTTGCGCTAGGTGCACATAGAAGTTTAGATTACCTATATGCTTGTATGCAGCACGGAAATTGACATTATGTTTTAATTGATTAAGTTCAGATAGATACCTTTTGAATCATGTTCTCAGAGACCAAAGTATAGAAAATGCTTCCACTATTCTAAAATTGGCGAGGACATTTATACGATAGAGGAAGGAAAATCTTTGAGGAGAACAGTAAAAGAAAAAGAAGTACAGGTTCAGTGGATTCAGAGCGTGTGCCAGCTGAATCAAATTCATTTTCTAAATTAGGACAAATCATGTACTTGAGGCAAAAACACTTTTCCTCAGAAAGAAAACAACAAGTTTCAGTGGCGCAATCCACCTATGCCGTACAGAAGTCAGTGGTAACGACAAAAATTCTGAGAAAAGTTAATGAAATCCTATTTTTAAGTTTTGGAATCAACATGCGGAATCATCGGCAAAGCGACTTTTTCTCCGCTGCAGCACGGCTACCGTAGTCATGCAAGAAATTTATCTATCTACTTTGCAAATTATCTGTCATTCCTGAAGTGAAAAATAACCCCACTGACATGATAATTCCACTTGAAAATACGATTTTGAAGTTCCTAAAGGGAAAGAGATATCAAAACCTGCGAAAATTTTTCGTATGTCCTTCTTAGTAGTATGTCTGAAGAAAATAAGTCGAAAATAAGATCTCTGAAGAAGTTTAGAGCTCTGTTTGTTTGGAGCACGTTATCTCGCAGCCGATGGAAGTTGGGCATATACCGTACGTCGCAAAACAGCGTATCGGCAAAAAACAGAGAAATCAATAAAAAAGTTTATTGTAAACTGAATACGATTTTGATCTAGATATGGAAGAAAAGACTTTCTTATAAGAAACGCTATAGCAATTGCTACACGAGCGTTCACGTTCCAAGGATTCAATTATTTCTCTATGATAGATCAAAACTTCACGCATCGGATTCCAATATGGAAGAATTGTTCAAAATATAGACGATGAGCAAGGGAGTGTAATGCGAATAATAACAACATATATACAATCGGGAGCAGAATATTAGGATTAACGAGGACGAACTCACGAAAAGACTCAAAGGGCAAGTACGAGATAAAGTTCAACCTCCATTCGATAGCAAAGCAGTAGGAATGGCAACAGCCTGCTAGAAAAAATCATTGCTTTATCAGCTGCATTCTTATTTTTCATGAAGTTTGGTAGGGTCATAATCATCCGCGTGAATTAAAGGTGCGTGATTGCAGTGTCAATTGTACACTAGCAATCGTCCACGATTACTTGACGTGGCGACGCTCGTAAACAGGGGCGGGGGCGGGACGGGCGGCTATAGTTGCCCTTCGATCTGGATCGGATTTGGATCTGATCCCAGTCTCATTCGCATGCCAGATCCCGAGTAAAATGAGGATCAAGTGCAGATGAGTAATGAATGCGCTTGTTAAACAACTTCGGATCACGATCCAGCTACCGAGAACTATCCTTCCTCATGGTAGTTGTAGATCGTGTGCGACCGATGCAGAACACAAGATCGAGACCATTCGATCTTTTCGCGCGAAGAATCTGATTCAGGTTGGAGTGGAAAGTGGCACCAGACTGAGGAGTAACGTAAATTGAAAATTAGGCTTCATTGTCTAGTCCGGCATTCGTGACGCCTTCATAGGGCGATGCGTCCTCAATGCACTTAGAAAGTATTCTCGAGTAATTTGCAGCTCGATACATACAGTCTGTGTCAACACGTGCTCCCTTTTCCCTAGCAACTACGATCCGCTGCGCGTGGGGATTGCGCAGCGATCGTCGATCAGTGTGGCGGACCCTGCTCAGGCAGCACGCCAGCATACGCGGCAAAGAGCTCTAGCTTTGCGCTTGAGCTGATCGAAAAAGGAACCATCGTTGACACGGACTGTAGGCGTATCCCGTCAGCAACACAATTTGAGTAAAACCTCAGCCAAAAAAAAATTCAAAAAACTACCCTGAAAAGTGGAAAGAGGTCACTCAACATAAAGAAAAGTTTAGCGTGCCTTTGGCCCACAATTTGTTTCAATATTTTTTATCCATTGTTTCAACTTACAGTGCGATTCCTCGCACGCAAAGACAGCGAGTCGCCACGGACACTGTCGCAGTCACGCTAATCAAGCGCTTTTTCTACCCTCTCCTGTCCGCTGTCTCTCCCACGCACAAACTATCTTGGTCGGACGTAGTGGCGTCCAGTCTCAGCGTAAGATGAATCGCCTATACATTTCAAAGCACTGCTAATGGAAATCCCGCTCTTTGTCGAGGGCATATTTGAACTCGAACTTTTGCTTCCGTAGAGATGTGCGTGCGTGTCGCGCGCTGTCTCGCCATCACGATTTTTCGAATGCCCTTCACATGTTGGCATTGTTACATAAGTTTTTATGAGTAAAGTTGAATGCAACGCACTTTCTTGGTTTTCATCTCTACTCGAGTGGTTTTTCTGCTTACATATGGTAGTAATCAGACATTCAAAGTGACTGAGTTGAGCGTTGAAGGCAGTGTCCCGGCAGATTCGGGTCTTGGGGGATATAGGTGTGGTGGGGTTCCTGGTCATCCCACCGACCTCCAGGCGCAGTCCAGCTGGGTGATGTTCCCCCTGGGCCGAGAAAATGGCCCTTGAACCGGCGCGCGCAACCCCAATTGGCGCGCGCTCGGACGGCGTTCCTTGTCTGTTCGGCGCGGGACCCCACGAGCGCTCTCCCCCATTGTGCATGCTATCCAAAGCAAAAATTACAGGCGACAGGGTCTTCGTCTGAGGACCTCCCAACATTCCATTTTAAAAACCTCGTCCGAGCTGCTTTTTTGGAACTAGGTAAACGCCCCAAAATCGGCCTTTTCAGCCCGTTCAAAGCTCAAATTCGGGTTCTACGTGGCGAAAACGCCTAAAACATGCAGAAAAGTGGAAGTGTAAAATCTGCCGGGACACTGCCTTTGAGGTGATGCCTTTCTGTACGTGTTTTATGCCCTCGTGGGCGCAAAGACCGCAGTCAAATTTGTCGTCACCATTTTATAAAAGATCTATACTTTTTCAACCTAAAACAGTCTTTGCAGGCTAAAACGATGGCAACTAAATACGCCTACCATCGTCATGTGGATATGTCAAAGACGGTCTAAAAGGAAACTCTGTGGAATTTTCCAGATGGTCGTCTCTTTCCCGCTTCCTTTTTTCATATCATATTAATTTGTGATAGCAAAAAATACCGAATCCAGCAAAGTCTAAAATGTTCGTAAATGTTGGACAGAACTTTGGAACCATAGTATCTTGCACATTTTTAGGGTCATTATTCATGCGCGGCAATTTTCATAAGATCGGCGCATGCTGCGAAAAGAGCTGCATCCGAAAACAAGTTTGAGAACGTACTACATACCTAAATCCTTGCGCATATCTCAAATTCCGAACGCAGCTGCGGTTTGAAGTCGGATGGCTTCTTAGTTGGATCATTTGAGATTTAGCAAATTTCCTTTGTTTAGTGGGTATATTGGGAAAAATGTGAAACTATCATAAAAAGGTTTGCTTTTATGGTGTAAGTTAGACGGGCTTTGACATTCTGGAAGGTGGCATTAGAAAGCTAGGCCTGTCTGACAGAATTTACCTAAAGTAGTCGTCATAGTTCGACCACCCGTGAAAAATGCGTCAAAAAGTGAAATTTCCAAAAGTGCTCGGTAACTTTCTTTTCTTAAAGAAAGATTCGTCTTATGGTTTGGCTACTGTCTACAAAATTACAAACTTGAAACAACAATGCTGTGTGGTTATACTTCGACATTCTTCTTTCTGAAAATGCGGAGAACGTGATTTGCACAAGCCTTGCTGACGCGATCCAAGCAAATCAGACATTTACCTATAAACTCGCTTATTCCTTGATCTTCATAGCATAGAATGAGTTGGAAGGCAGGACAAAGACTCGGTTCCCTTTTGTGAAGGTGTACATGTTTTTGTCCCAAGTTGTACTGATTTCGATTCCAATTTTTTCAAAAAGCGATTACCTTTCCGACGTGAGCGTTGTTTTGCTTGCTACTAGAAGGATATTCCAGTAGGGCCCTAGACCTTACTAGAATTCCCTTTTAGAGACGCAAGATAGCTCTCATGGTCGGATTCCAAAAAAAATTTAAATCCTAGTAGTCTTGGCGTTTTGAATGCACGAGAGTGTCTACGACGCTGGCAAGTCCTCAGGAAGGTGTGGTGAAGATCTGGCCAAACTCGCTACGTATTCTTTTTCGTAGGTCAACTTCTTCGATGATCGAGTCATTTGCGAAGTCCACAAAAGAAGGATTGAAAGCAGTGGTTCGGGAAAATTTCGAGTGCGAGATTCCCCAACTATGGCCTTCTGGATCCGCTGAGTCCGAGACTGTGCTCGGAAGGTGCAAGAAGTGCTTTTTCGGCGTTTTCCGACCTGGAGATTGCTGAGGAGCTAGGCGAGGCATTCTCGCCGACAACAGCGACTGACTGCAAGATACTGTAATTCCATCCGTTTTGGCGGCTATTGGCTGATTGGCTCAGGCAGCCAATCGCGACTCAGTTAGCGATCGCTCGCCCATCTCCTAGAAGGAGAAAATGAAAAGCAATTTTTTCAACTTTTCAAGCACAGCCCTGGACTCAACGCATCCGGAAGACCAGAGGGAATGGAAAGCTCATAATTGCAGTTTTCCCGAGCCACTGCATTCAAGGAATCCTAACGAGTCACCTCCGCCTCATAGCAAAGTGTACATAAAAAATATCAATGACAAAAGCGTCAGATTAACTACACGGTGATGAATATAAAAATTGTATGGATAATATAGAATTTTCATCCTTCTTTTCAACAAAACCGTAATTTTCTCCTATCAACAAATTGATTTGGCATCAGTTATAGAACGAGAAATCATGTATCTTCTATTAGACGAATACGACAAATTTAACTATAGTGATTCCGAGTGAGCTTGCCGTATTTCAAAACACTGTAATAATAATTAGGGAGCTTTTTGAACACGGGGTGCTGATAGGATATCTCTGCAGAAAATTTGATTTGACAGTATGAACAAATTTACCGCAAATGACTAAATCACATATCTTACGCTAAATGCTGAATTGTATTGCCGCAATGCAGTAATCATGATTTTGTATTTTTCTGCAGCGATTCAGATTTTAGACGATTTATTTTTGAAAATTAAAAGTCAGAGCGGTTCTCCTTTTCGATTTTTATCTCTGGAGCCTTCTGTCGTCCAAGAGCGGTAAAGATGTTTTCAAAAAGCAATCATTTTTTTGTGGTGAAATTTTTTGAGAGCAAATGCGTTTACATAGGGAGCAGCTACGATTTTAAAATCACAGCGACAGAACTTTCGGTTCAATCCAATATGTTACAAAGATTATCGCTGGAGATACTGACCCTGCTGAAGCATTCCGCCGGTAGTGCAATTAATGTTAAAAGATAAACATTTTATGCCTAGTTCCTTACCGGCATAACTACTGTATCTACTCTCTATGAACACTGCTTTAAAGCAACAGTGGTCTTTCAAAGTCTTTATTCACGTCGCAGGTTTCTGCAAGTTGAGACGATACTTAACAATGTAGTAGCAGTCTTCATCAAACCATCTACCATTTAGAGTGACATATTCACCACCTAAAGTGAATAAAGTGACTTCAGGAATAAATCCAAAATGAAAAGCCAGAATGTTCTCCTCATTTAATTATTAGCGGTAATGAATGACGTAAGAAGTTTTTGCATACTTACTGATCACATTCATGGAGCAAGGTCTTGTCCTGCTCATAAGCACTATGCAGTCTTATCGCACACTGTATTTTTGCTCGCATAACTGAGCAGAAACGGTTAGCTAGTGACTAACATAAGTCTGCTGGTGCGTACAAAAGTTTCTACAGATATAGATAACATGCATTATATGCTAACATGGTCGAACGTTGCTTTGTACATATGGTTGGAGAATCGAGAATAGGAGCAAAATTTGAAACTGGTCCACGAACATATAAAATTGTGTAAGAGATTTCTTTCAGTTATAAACTATCACGGTTGTAAAAAAAACTCTCTAATGCTTGCTAAGAATTTGGAGTGGCCATAGCCTCATCCCTAGAGGACTTACACAATATTTCGAGTCCTCTGAAAATTTCTGGGTCGCTTTTAAAATTTCTAACGAACTGAAAGTTTTCAGAAAAGTAGTTATAAAGCTGACTTGAATTTTTTCGCACAAGTAAAAAGTGTGTACTAGGCTGATTCAAAATTTCTGTCCGATTTGCGATTCTTCCATCTAAAATCTCATAACTTTTTTTCAGAATTAACAATTTTGGACAAATTAAATTTTGTTGTATTGAGCGAGTTTATGGCTATCACATGCACTGTGTGCCATGTAAGGAAGGCTAGCGAGAGAGAAAAGAAAAATTTTTGATTTGCAAGGTCTGCAAGGCATTTCTTCAAAACCGTCCAGTTTGACTTACTAATGCTTCCATATGAGGATGGGCAGACATATTTGGCTGCCACCATTAAGTAGCTTATACTTCAGAGGTTCTTGGTTAGTGAAAAATTGAGTCATTTTCGCCGCATAGAAATCTTGCGAGCAAATCAAAATTCCATTATTTGAGCCCTCCTCCGCGTGCGAAAATATGCCGACTTTCTAATATTTGATTTTTTCTTGTTTTCGCAATCGAAGAAAGCCAATTGGTCGGTGGTTCCTGCTTGCCCTCGCTTTACTCTAACAAGGGAGGTGTTTTCGGTCGAAGTGGCTTTTTCAAATGAAATATTGATACGACTATAAAGAGCATCAAACGCTTTCCAAATCTGCCTTCATTATCTGCCGAGCGCCTCTAGACGTCGAGTTATAAGCGTTTTTTGAGTTGAGAAATTAAATGCATAATTAGGACAATAAGTCACAGTCAGACATATAGTCGACAGAATTGCTCAAATGGGCCAATGTTGACTATCAAAGCACTTTGTCTGAACAATACCTTTTATCCAAAGCACTCATACTTAACACTGCTCTATTTGAGCGCTGAGAAGACCGTAAAATTTTATTTTACTTAGATTATGCGTTCATTTTTCGCACCAAGAAAATATTCATAACTCGACGTCTAGAGGCGCTCGGCAGATAACGAAGACAGATTTGGAATCAACGTTTGATGCCCTTTATAGTCGTATCAATTTCATTTGAAAAGGCCACTTCGACCGAAAACACCTTCTTGTAAGATATGCAATATTGCATGCACCACCTGTCACTATATGTAGATTGTTGTCGCTTGTTGAATAACTGAGTTTGTCTTCTATCTTTGAAAAAAATTGAAGAAAAAATTCTCTACGTCAAAGAAAAAGTGTGCGTATGTTAGCATAATACGTTTGTATAGGCGTTTATCGCCCGGAACCACCCCTCCCGATTACCAGACCCGGCTTGAGAGGTTTCATATGAAATCCTTAACAAACCGTCGTGCTTTCTTGGATCTTGTATTCTGTTTTCAAGTTCTGAGAAGAGAGAACAAGCTAAAAGCCAGTAAATACTGGATTTTTGTTCCTACAAGCGAAAGGTCAGGCTCTTTTAACTTGCAATATCCAAGAATCCGGCGCAAGAGATACTTGCTGATGTTCAACAACGTGTTCTACAGGTCGGCTAGGTGGCTTTCGCACCTCCCGGTTACGAGCACTAGTGCAGAGAGTAGTCATATTTTCAGGAATAGACTGAGAAGGCTTGACTTGTCAAGTATCGCTAACACTGATTAGTGTTGCATGACAGGGCGAGTCTTCTGCATTAGACCTTTTGAGCTTCCATTGGGTGCTTTGGACGTGCTATGATGGCGGATGGAATCGCTTTGGGCTTTGTTTTCTATCACCTTTCTTCTCCATTTTACCTCTAAAACCTGTCTTTTCAGGTGCTCGGTGATCTTGCATTGACTTGCGGGTTCAGTTGTAAATTATCTCTTTGACGCCTCTCGTGTATCTCCTCACGTTGCGTCAAACTTTTATTTTTGGTGTACTCGTTTTGTTCTAGTTACTAACACAGTTTCATCAGCATCTCAGTCCGAGTCTTTTTCGTTCAGCTATCTAGTAGTCAATCGTACAGCTTGCTATTTCGACAAATGGATTCAATGAGAATCGTTTCACCTTTGGGGTCATTGGGCCTCCCCAGCATTCCGGCTAGGTTGGGTTATGGTTATTATACCTGAGCCAGTAGACCTGCCTTATAAGCCGCCGGATTGCTTTTAAGAGTAACTGAAGATCGTTCCGCTGGCAACGAGGGGGCATGCGTCCCTCCATGGATCCAAAGTTTTGGAGTTATAAATCTCATGCCTACATCTGCATACTTATTTATTAGCCTACCAACATATTCAGTGCAAGCTGTTTTATCTTCTCACATTAGTCTGATTAGGATCAGACTCGGACTGACATGATGATGTCTGCATTTGTTTACATGTCTTGTTCGTTTCCGCTGTATTACTAACTTCTTGATGTGTCTTTTTTTATGGAACGCCTTGAGCGTACAAATGAAATGAAATGAAATACAGCCTCACCCATTAGAAAATACCATATATTTAGTTTTACGAATATTGCGGAAGTTCTTATGGAAACTTTTTCTTGGGCATGACTGCATTTTGGCAACTTTGCTTCGGGGGCTTGAAAATTCATCACTCGAGAGTTGATTCGCCAAGCATCAGTGAGCACTAGAAAGAGCAGGAAAAGTACTTCTAAATTATGTTTATGATAGCCGTAAGTGCAATACCCTAAGAAAATAGCTGCGTTGAAACAAGGCAATTGAAAATCGGACTTCTGAATCAGCCTAGTATATTCGCTTTGTTGAATCCAGATTCAGTGACCAAACTGATCATTCACCTAATTCGTCTTTTTCAGAAGCAGAATGATTGCAGGACCCTGATAAACCATACCGTCCAAGCAGTGGCGAACCCAGAATTTGCGTTCGAGGGGGGGGGGCAAAAAAATTTTCGAATGAAGGTGCGTGGCACTAGCCATGCACTCCTAAAAATGTCTTGCAACGCTTCGCCAAATTCTTGCCCATGACCGAAATTTTGGAATAGGTTGGGGCAGGGCGTCCACGCCGAAGAAATATTTTTACAACTTTAGTTTGAGCTTTAGACAGTTCAGAAATTTCTAATTTCATTTACAGTTCGATGCGGCATAGAACGTGACTTCAAATCTGTCTTCCGTATCAGCTGAACGCTCTGTAAGCGAAGTTCTGAGCAGTTATACTGCTAAAAATTCCTACCTAAAAAAATGCGAAATTTAATTCATTATTGCCCTTTTAGCTCAATTTAGGTTTGGACCATTTGAAGTAACTTGGCTGAATATTTTGGTTTGGCACTAAACCAAACATGACTCTGTACAGCCAAATTTGCCCTTAATACGCACGATTTCTTGACAAAATAATGGTCTCTGGTTTATAACTTCATTCAAAAAGTGTTCAGCAAAAGTAAGACAGATTTGAAGTCAGCGTTTTTTACTGCATCTAATGGTACAGTTACGAAATCATTGCATGCCAATCATCTTGCATTTCGGTTGCGATAGTTTTTCGACTAAACGTGGCTAACGATGACAACCGAAATGCAAAATGATTGGCAACTCTGTCTTGTTTTTATCTTTTTGCCTTGCAATGGACTCGTAACTGTTGTCTTGTTGGAGCATCGCGAGGCGATGAAATCGCGTGTCTGCCCGAGGCCAAAGGCAGCAAATGAGTTCCGTTGCGACGGTACCCTTCGTTTGAGAGGGATGTAGGGCGTTAGGCGACAAACCCAATTTTTTGGACTCCCCGTCAGGGCCCGGCGGGGGTGGCGCTTTCACAAGCTGGATATCGTTTTTGGCCCGAAAAAGCAAAGGGGAAGTCGTATTTTGGGTTCCTCTTTGTTTACCGATAAACAATGCACATATCATTATTTATTCATCATTCCTTGTTGATGCTACTGTCCTATGAACTTAGATTCCAGCAATGTGAAGATTCTGTGCTCCGATCGCTAGCCTGCCCGCAGGCGGAAATTCAAATCGCAATTCTTGTAAGAAGAAAATAACAAAATAGGCTCGTTTTCAATGCACAAGTAACGATATGGCACCAAATTTGCTGTGGAGTTGGAGGACCATGAGCACAAAAAAAGTATGAAGAATTATGAGAAACTTACGTGAATTTAAAAAATTGTGTTTCTCGAGATTAGGTGGCTCCGCGCCACCTGGGAGCCACCTTTGGTGGCTCCCTGCTTTCTTCCCTTCACATAATTTCCCGGATTTCTTTACATATATGTGGACTAGGTCGATAGTATTACTATATGTTCAAATCCGCTTCCAAAACCACCAAGGCACCGCTTCGATACAGCCCCAAATAGGGTTCACAGCGTTATGATCGGCCTCGGAAAGCGCGCTCCAATCGCAATCGGTTATTGTAAATTGTAAAGTTTCGCAGCTGACTAATAAATGAGTAGTATCTTAGGTATATAAACGTCAAAGTTTGTGAAAATCTTGACCCTATGTTTTTTTTATAGATTCCTTTGCGGATAAACCCATTGAGCTGAAACCTTGATGACCCGGGCTGGACCAGGAAAGCCAGGTAGTACTACTATAATAAGCTCTGAGGCCGCCCATCTTATTATTTGTGTATATCTGTTTGTCAGGGACTTACGGGGGTCAAAAATAGGGTCAAAGGGGAAGTCGTAAGAAATTTTGGCTTCAAAGGGGATATCGTTTTCAAAATTCTGAAATGCCACCTCCTGCCGGGCCCTGCTCCCCGTGCAAAACGTCTCCTCCGCCAAAAACAGGGAGGTGGGGGGCGGGGCCGATGCATTACCCGACGCCAATGAAAAAAATGGTGCATAGTTTCGAGTTACGGGATTTAAGTTGCTTGCGTTTTGCACGTTTTGTCGCCTAACTGGTGGGTGGGGCTCTAAGTTCCGCATCTCTTGAGCTAGCGTGCTTTAGTCGTATCTCAGGCTTAACGATCGAAGCTCCGCTCTCCACCCGTCACTCGCAGTGGGCGGGCACCTGTAGGAAAAATCTCAGGATACAGACTATAGATTAATCATCGCTAAATTAGTTTATAACAGAAAAAAGTTGGTTATAAAACGTTACAGTAACCTAAAAAATTTACAACCTGGCATGGGGTTATTGCATAGAGCGCAAACAAAGCAGTCTTGATGAAATGGTTTCCCCTCTACGGAGTAATATTCTTCATACACTGCTCTGCCGCAGCCTAAATGTGGATAGAGGAACGAGCGCCTCAATTAGGCATCGCCTCCGCGGGCTGCTGGTCCTTTCGTCCTACGGTTGTGCATCATTTTGGGACCAGTGGTCCGCAGAGGCGGTCCCTAAGTGAGGTGATCGTTCCTCCACCCCCTAAATGTTATTTTCGAATGCATTTGATTTTCGTAGACTTCTTGCACTTGAATACCTTCACATTTTATGCTAACATCGTCAAGGTGGCAGTCGAGACATACTACACCACTTCCTATGACGTAATATTCCATGTCTGGTAGTGGAGTCTGAAAAGAAAAAAACAGCGTCAATGTGATTGACGCGACAAAATGAAGATTATTTGCAAAAACGTTGTTGTTCGGTAGGAAGTAATGAGAAATTTCCTAGACTGAGGTGCAGTTACGCCCTAGCAGTAGAACCACAATGGCACAGTTCTTTCGGCAAATTACTAAATAACACTTAAGGTTGGAACCAGCGCGTCCTTTTGGAATTTTTCCATGTGAAGTTGAGTTGAAATATGAATCCAAAAAAATACTATGTAATTTGGCACCTTGCATTCCGTACAGTAAAAATGGTCTTTGTGCCAGAGCCTTCCACCTGCATAAACGACTTCTCCCTAAACATTTCAGGGCGATTTAGCACTTTCATCAAACGTGAGACCTACACGGAGAGCATCGGTTCTCTTCACAATAACACTACAGTTGCTGCACCGCGTTATCCACCTCGGTACGTCAGGGGGTGAGGTCTGGAAACTCTGATAAGGGTAACAGTTCTGTAAAAAACCGCAGAAAACAAATCATAAACCATGCAAAAGTGTGATTTATCGCATATCGACTTATCGCGTCTTTTAAAGCATCTTTCTATAGTGTACTTCAAATATTAGTTTGTATATAACATGAGTTTTCACCTATACATCGACTTTCTATCGCAGCAAGTCATAGTTCTCATGTATAGCAGGTGTCAGGGCAACTTTCGATGGAACAAAGAAAGCTCTACAAGATGATGTTTGAACTTTCGCACCAAACTTGATCAACGGAATATTCAAAGCCAAAAACTAGAAATTTCCAGCTTTAAAAATTGTAGAAAATCGAAATTCCGTTGAAAATCCTACGAACCGCATCTTTTAAAGCATCTTTCTATAGTTTTCACCCATACATCGACTTTCTATCGCAGTAAAAATTGTAGAAAATCGAAGATCGAAAATTAGGGCTGTGCTTTACTCGCCCTCACATTCCGCAGAGCATTGAGTTATACAATTTTTTTCACATCTAAAAATCAAAATGAGAATTTTTGTGCTATTACCAAAAAGATGCTGGGATTTTCCACATAAGTAACTGTATACTACGAACCTCTGAAAGCGCAGCCCTGATTTTTTTTGCTTTTTACATGAATTACATAGCTTCCGAGAATTATCGACCTTAGCTTTCCTTGTTGAGGTGTTGTGCTAAAGTCTGTTTCTGAGCTTGTGCAAAGCTAAAAAAATTAGGGCTGTGCTTCCAAAAGATTTGTACTAGATTTGTGCACGGAGTTCAGAGCCGATTATTTCACTGTTTTCGAAACATTTGAAAATTTTTAGTTTTTGGCTTCGAACTTTGCGCGATCAAAGTTGGTGCAAAAGTTTATCGTGTACAGCTTGCTTTGCTTTGTCAAAAAAATCCCTGAATGATCATTACTTATGACTTAATAATAACGGGCTAAGGGTGTTTACGTCTGTTTGTCTGTGTGTCTGTGTGTACGTCTGTCTGTCACGAAATTCGTAGAGAGACTTCCATCAAAGATCTTGGGCTAAAATTTTGGTCATAGCACCCTATCAGCATGTAGGTAAACTGTGCAAAAGCAAAAGCTGATCCGATTAGTGGAACCTGTGAAAACTGAGCGCCAAACGGGTCCACGCGACTTTTGGTCCGCCAAAATCTGTCGGTAGTTGGGCTTTTTGCAAAGTCGTGGATTTGTTCAGCAAGTAAATCCGAAAAACATTGACTTCAGCTCAAAAAGTAAGCAGAAAGTCAATCTTTACACAAAATCGGCGCCAAAAAGATGTAAGTGAGCAAACTGTCGATTTGCTAGATTTTTCTGTAAAAATTGAGAGGATTTTTGAATAGATATGTAGCCCAAAGTGGTGTTTATCCTTATGGCGAATATAAAGCCAAAATAAATTCAGTAACCCATTCAAAATCGCATTTGTTTTTCTGCGGGAAAATTTTTTCTCCCAAAATTACCAATCTTACATGGAAAAGCACTAAAAATGAATGGTTGTTTACAATTCATTCGTGATGTTCAGCATAGCGCGGTGAGTCTCAAAGTCATTATTCTGCGATCACGAAGAAGGCACGGATAGTAGAGCCAGTGCGAACCTCTGCGAAGCAGAGGTGACGCACTGGTTACTTATAATAACGGGCTAAGGATGTTTACGTGACTTTGTGTGTGTGTGTGTCTGAGAGTGTGTCTGTTACGAAATTCGTAGAACGTGTTCCAGCCAACCTCCTGGGCTCAAATTTTGCACAACGCATGCTACCCGCATGAAAGTCCAACAAGCAAAATCACGAGAAAATTCATCAAGTGTATCTCTCAGAAACTGTGCGTTAAACGGATCCACTTTGGATTTCGGCCTCAAAATTGGGTCCGTAATTCCACTTTTTGCCGAGTCGTGGATGTTTGTGCCGAGTAAATGTGCAAGACATGAACTTAGGCCCAAAAAAAGTAATCAAAATCCCATTACTTTACAAAACGGCGCCAAAAAGTATTGGTTGCGTAAATGGTCAATTTGCCAAGGTTTTACCAGACCATTTGACGAGATTTTTGCACAAAGATATATCTCACGGTGACTGCTGTTCTTATTGCAACTGTCAAGACCATGGTAAAATCAAAAACCTATAAAAATTTGGGTTTGTTCTCCTGCAAAAAGTCTCATCCACGCGAAACCACCGTTTTCACATGAAAAAGCTTTCGGAATGAGTAGTTGTTTACATTTTGTTCGTGATAGTCGGCATTGCTCGGTGAGTTCCAATGCCATCATTATGCAAGAATGAGTAGGGCCTAGATAGTAGAGACAGTGCGAACCTCTGCGAAGCAGAGGTGACGCACTGGTTAGATATAAGAAATGAATGATTTTCTGCCATAAAAATCCGAAGTGTAACAACTTGTATCACAACCTTAAATCTTCTCCTGCTAAAACAATGGCACAAGCGGAAGATTTGTTCACACGAATTTGACGCAAATGGTTACGGAACCTACTTCTTTTTTTCTAGCTAAGAATTCCTTTAACTAATTTTGAGTAGACATTTACTCTGGTGACAGCACAAATTACTCAAATTACTGACTATTTCGCTACGACACCCGTGAACTGTCGCTTTTGTAGCCGACTTTGCTTCATTTGCGAGCAGCACCTTTATAAGAAGTACTCCTTGATGGCGTAAGCTCTCAACATCAACCACTCACTCTACCAAATCCACGGTGAGCTTGCGATCACGAAAACAATAAGGAAAAACTAATGAAAGAAGGTAAGGGATCATAACGATCAGGGATGCCAAACAACGATCAAAGTGCAAATGCATACCACATCGTTGCTGTTGTATGTTGCAGCTATTTTGTACATCACCAACTTCTATGCGGGGAATGTTGAAATAAGGTTTACTATGATACCGGTTTCTTCAAGAAACCATTGATGATTACCCTAATCCCACGAGTACAAGGGCGAAGTTCTTTTTTTCTAAACTCGACCAGTGGCCGTATTCATCATTGATACCTTGGGCTAAATTCTACCTCCAGGTTTTATCACTCACTAGTTGGCTTACCCGGCTCCGCCGTATGTTCCAAATAGAAAATTCCATTTCTTGACCGATCCGGACCGAACTTGGCACACATACACTTCGGGCCCCGGCGGTGTCACAGTCCACTTTTCGTTATCGATCGAAGTCGATTTTATCGATTTTTTGCAAAATTTGAGCTAGGGGGCTGGAATTTGGCAGAGGGGTGTAATCGAGCATGCTGATCACCCCCACGGGGGTGATCAGCATGCTCGATTACCCCCCCCCCCCCCTTGTGCCAACTCCCAGCCCCGTAGGTAAACTTTGCAAAAAAAATCGATAAAAATCGATAAAATCGATATCGATCGATGACGAAAAGTAGCCTATGACACCCGCCCTGCCCCGAAGTGTATGTGTGCCAAGTTTGGTCCCGATCGGTTCAGAAATGGAATTTTCTATTCGGAACATACGTACATACAGACATACAGACAGACAGACAGACAAACAGACATTCAGCTTTATATATAAGATTATCAGCAAAATTACATTGAGATTTAACCTCAAGGTACTTTGTGAATACGGGTACTTGCTGATAATGAGTGATAAAACTACATACCTGGAGATAGAATTTACCTCAAGGTATCAATGATGAATACGGCCACAGAAAAGACACGACACAGAAGTTAGCAAACGACCCTCCACCGTGTTGGGCACTACTTTGAAAAATCGGGCAGCGGCGTTCGTTTCGCCAGGCACAGCGAAGCGGCTGAGCTTCTCGCATCGAAAAATGGAAACGATGCGTCTTATACTCGTAAGGCCCCGGTCAGACTTCACGGACTTAGTCGTCGCGATCTAATCGCCAAGATTTCCATTCATTTTCATTTCACATTCAAAAATGTCGGGATGGAGAAGTATCACAACCGAATGCAAGTTGATCGGCATGGAATGATGTTGTAACAGTTGTCTCGTCGCGACCAAATCGCCAAGATTTCCATTCATTTTCATTTCACATTCAAAAATTTCGGTCTGGAAAAGTATCACAACCGAATGCAAGTTGATCTGCATGGAATGATGTTGTAACAGTTGTCTCCTCGCGATCCAGTCGCGACGATCAAATCGCGACAAGACAACTGTTACGAGTTCATTGCATGCCGATCAGCTTGCAGTTCGGTTGTGATACTTTTCCAGACCAAAATTTTTGAATGTAAAATAAAAATGAATGGAAATCGCGGCGATTAAATCGCGTGAACTCTGTCCGAGGCCTAAAAGGATATATGAAGTTTGGAGGCCTTTTTTTTCAAAACCCTGCCAATTCACGAAAAAAAGCTTGCTATACTGTGACCTCCTTTTTTGTTCAATCATACCGCGTTGAGAAGTATATAACCACATCTTTGGTGTTTCTTCAACAAAGATGGTTTATGGGTGTGCATGGTTTACGGGTGGGGCCCTGAAGTACACAAAATGCGGCAAATTAAGTTTATGCGATACCGCTCGTAATTTGTGAAAGCCACCGCACTCCGCCGAACTTTACATCACATCGCCATATCTGTTTTCATAGTGGATGAATTCTGAATCCAAAGGCACCACCCAACTCAGCTCGACGAGATGCATCTTCTGATATACAAAATGCCTGTTTGCGCACGATATTCGGTCAGATTTCCTGGATATTTCCAGATGTTGACGGTAGCTTACTCATTGTGCAAATAAGCGAAAATTTGGAAAGATCCGAAAAATCAGACCGATTTCCGCCCAAACCGGCACTTTTGTACATTAGAAGATACATCTCCTCGAGCTTAGTTAGTTGGCGCTTTTGGATTCAGAATTCGTTCTTTTTGAGCAAGATATGGCGAGGCGACGTAAAGTTCGGCGAACTCCGGCAAAGTAGAGTGATTTGATTCCAAAGTTACGATGGCATTGTATGCAAGGACATCGACTTTGGTTGACGCAGACTGTTTACTGCACTTTATCTATTACTAGCTGGCTTGCCCGGCTCCGCCGGGCCTGCCAGCTAGACCCGTGTACGTATGTTCCAAATAGAAAATTCCATTTCTGAACCGATCCGGACCAAACTTTGCACACATACACTTCGGGCCCCGGCGGGTGTCACAGTCCACTTTTCGTTATCGATCGATGTCGATTATACCGATTTTTATCGATCTTTTTTGCAGAGTTCACCTACAGGGCTAGGAGTTGGCACAGGGGGGAAGTGAGCATGGGGATTCCGAACACAATATTAGTTTTCAGAATTATCGATTACTTTTATTGATTTTATCGATTTTTTTGTAAATTTTGACCTGCGGGGCTGGGAGTTTGCACAGGGGGGTAATCGAGCATGCTGATTACGAACACAATATTAGTTTTCAGGATCGTCCATTACTTTTATCGATTTTATCGATTTTTTTTGTAAAGTTTGACCTGCGGGGCTGGGAGTTTGCACAGGGGAGTAATCGAGCATGCAGATTACGAATACAATATTAGTTTTCAAGATCGTCCATTACTTTTATCGATTTTATCGATTTTTTGAAAATTTGAGCTAGGGGGCTGGAATTTGGCACAGGGGTGTAATCGAGCATGCTGATCACCCCCCTTGGGGATGATCAGCATGCTCGATTACCCCCCTGCGCCAACTCCCAGCCCCCTAGCTCAAACTTTGCAAAAAAATCGATAAAATCGATAAAAGTAACCGATAATCCCGAAAACCAATATTGTATTCGGAATCCCCATGCTCGACTACCCCCCTGTGCGAACTCTCAGCCCCGTAGCTCAAACTTTGCAAAAAAATCGATAAAATCGATAAAAGTAATCGATAATCCTGAAAACCAATATTGTATTCGGAATCCCCATGCTCGATTACCCCCCTGTGCCAACTCCCACCCCCGTAGCTCAAACTTTGCAAAAAAATCGATAAAATCGATAAAAGTAATCGATAATCCTGAAAACCAATATTGTATTCGGAATCCCCATGCTCGATTACCCCCCTGTGCCAACTCCCAGCCCCGTAGGTGAACTCAGCAAAAAAATCGATAAAAATCGATAAAATCGATATCGATCGATGACGAAAAGTAGCCTATGACACTCGCCGGGGCCCAAAGTGTATGTGTGCCAAGTTTGGTCCCGATCGGTTCAGAAATGGAATTTTCTATTCGGAACATACGTACATACAGACATACAGACAGACATACAGACATACAAACAGACATTCAGCTTTATATATAAGATTTATTTGGATAACATAAATAGGAGATGAGTACACAATCACTTCTTCATCGCAAACGGGTATTTTGCTTCAAATCAACGGCGGCAATGCAGATATTTGCAAGAGACAATTTTGCGAGGTCAAAAACTATGGTTTTCACTGGTGTGACGTCAGCGAGGATGCATTATTCCTCTGCCACCGTCAACTCTCAACAGCTCCCCAGTAGTAAACGAGCTCTTCTCTGAAGCCAGGAAGAAAACGGCCTCTGCTACTTCAGATGCCTCGCCGACACGGCCGAGAGCATGAGTGGCTTTTCCTTTTTCGAGGAACTAAAATAGATTTCGAAAGATATGCAAGTATAGTACTATTTTTTTACCTTTTCGTAGCTCTCTTCATCCATTCCCGCTCTTTTGTGAACATTTGTAACGATGACACCAGGACTAAATGCGGTGTTCTGAATCATAGCAAGTCTTTGTGAACGGGCTTCAGTTCTCACTTTACGGCATTGACACGAACTCCATGCGGTGCCATTTCCAAAGCAAGACATTTGGTGAACTGGTCCAACGCAGCTTTCGACATACAGTAGTACGTAACGCCAGGAAACTGAAAAAAAATCACTCTCAATTTACTGACTTCCACCAGGCAAACCAGACTGCGCCTTGAGCTCCAGCATAATGAACAAAGGAAATAACGACTCACAGGGCATGGGCCAGTGATACTGGAAACGTTAACCACAGTTCCTTTTGTTTCCATTATATGTGGAAGGGCTAGCTTAGTTAACCGAACAACACTGAAACACAAAGCAGCTCAAATCTGGAACACAGCATGCAATCAAATCATCTCTGATTCCCCTTAGATACCAGAAACAACCTGATAACATCTACACATGCAGCAGGTATCACATCCATGAGGCATGCATGGCAAAGTCTACTCTAATCACACTCGGAAATTGCGAGAGGTAAGAGAACCAGATAGACAAAAAGCCCATGCTCTCAAACACAAGGTAGATTATGGATCAAAGCAAGCAGACAAGCAGAAACCAAATTTCGATTCTCTGAGCTGTCAAAAACTTAGTCAATTTCTCAAACCAGCACACGGCAGCATTCCGAAGAGATATAACATCAGATTGTACTTACAGTACTGGAATCCGGAACTTCACCGGCATTAAGCTATATTAGCTGAGTAATAATACTTAGAATGTAGTGCGATCAGATGAGTTGCAAAACTCAGGCACCTAAATACTCATCCTGTAACTTGTTAAGATGCCAAAATCAGCAAAAAATTCATAGCACCAAAAACCAACTTTTATGTCAAGGAAAATTTGGAATGGAATTTCAGATTATAGAATATTTCACACACTACTTTTGCGTGAAAATCAATTGCTTATTTTTTAACGTATACACTTGCTTCACCTAAGCTAACAAACAAACATAGCACCATTCTCTTCTATAAGGCGACTGTTTAAGACTTGCCTTTTTACATTTACATCCATTTGGCGGTCGTACATATCCATATCAGCATCTAGCACGTTTCCGCTGACTAGTATTCCTGCCGAATTCACCTGTAAAAGACGATCTTGTAGAGATCGGTTCTAGCGGCTCTGAATTTTACTGTGGCATTGAAGCTTTCTGTTTCAATAGGTAGACTGCCCTCGTGGAGATATTTCACAAGTTTTGCTATACATATACTCCTTCTCTCTCTCATACTAATACTTCACCAAAATCCCACCTCAAATAAGTCCAAAGATTATATTTTCGACTCAAAAATCATGCGGTTTCCATAAAACATAAAAATGCTGTCCTGCTCTGATAGTGACTCTTGAAACTTATTTCGACTAAGAAATCTCAAGATGCACGAACCCTATTTCACAAAGAGGTTTGAAGACGTGCCAGCGGTGCTGTAACGTGCCGAGGGGAGAACAAAACCAAGAAAGTGTACAATATCATGAGGAATTCGGCCAATAGTGTACACCAATGGAAAGAACTCATGGCACGACTGGAACCCTCTTTTAAATCATACTACTGGATGGTGACCACAATTTGGACTTTTCTCCAGCAATCATCAAATCAGATAAAACGAGTCCAATATGTTTACCAGAGTGTCGATGCGCTTGTATTCCTCCATAGTATTTTCTACAAGTTTCTTCGCATTAGTTTCATCGCATAGGTCGCCGACAGTAATAATCACCTAAGATTCGATACTATTACGCGATGTCACGAGTTGGTGCGTCCAAAATCACCCTATCTGCTCCAGTCTCTTTGCACAGCTCAGCTGTTTCCAGGAGAGCTTTTTCATCCCGACCACTCAACGATAAAGCGTAATGGTCTTCAGAAAGACGTAAGCTGACCGCTCTTCCAATTCCCGATGACGCACCTGAGTCAAAGCTGATTATATACGACAGCGCACGAATAATTACTGCATACCTGTCACGATAGCAACTTTCATGTCTCTAAAAATTACCTCATTTGTCTGGAACCTACTGTCAATACATGAAAGAGTTGCAAGGTAACTTTACCATTACAGATTGATAAAAAAATTATCTAGGAATCTTTATGTCTCCGTAAAAAATGACAATTTTTATGGGATGTAAACAAGCATTTAGGAGCATTGGCAAAACATGCACTAAAACTACCATGTCTCAGGACAATGAACGCTAAATTAGCGAGGGAACATGATGCCTCGTCCACCATCAACACGAAGCAGCTGGCCGGTCGTGAATGAACTTCTTTCAGATGCTAAGAAAAGAATAGCCTCAGCAACCTCTCTAGGATCGCCGGGTCTGCCCAAAGCGTGCGTCGTTTTGCTTCTTTCCAAAAACTAAAACCTTACGCTGACCAAGATCGCAATCAGCAAGTGTCCAAGATAGACTCACCGCAGCATAGGTCTTTTCATCTTGCCCAGAGCGCCGATGAAGGTTTGTGACAGTAACTCCAGGACTGGAAAGAATTACTATTGAAGGCAGCGTCCAGGTAGATCTGGACTTATGGGCATTTTACGTGGAAAGTAATTTTAGGGCCCTAACTAAGGCACTGCTCGAGCGGCAGCACAGATGAATCACTAACAGCTGAGATGTGCGCCTCCAAAGTGGACCCCAGGATCGTGTTCGCACGGATTCATGGCAGTTCCGCGCGAAGACCCACGCTTTGCGCCATGAATCCATGCAAAATACGACCCCGGGGTCCAGTTTCGAGGGGAATTTCTCGGCCGTTAGAGCACTATCTGAGCTGCTGGTTGGCAGTGGCTTAGTTAGGGCCCCAAAATTAACATCCACGTGAGATTCCCATGTATCCAGACTTGCCTGAACGCTGCCTTTGAGGCAGTTACTGAGCAAAATGGATCCACATGATCTACTGCACATAAAAACCTACTTGACCGCATTCACTCGCACCCCATGAGGAGCCATCTCCAATGCCAGGCATTTTGTGAACTGATCTACCGCGGATTTAGACATGCAATAATAAGCAACTCCAGGAAACTATAAACAGCATCCAAAATGAGAGATTTTGTTGCAAAGTAGTGCTTACCGGACACGGTCCATTTATACTGCTTACGTTGACAATAGTGCCCTTAGCCTTGATGATATGAGGCAGAACTTCACGAGTAAGACGCACAAGGCTAAAGGCTGATAATTACAACTGCTGCAGAGAAAAGTCAAGTCGAAACAAACCATCTAACGTTCACATCAAATAGCTCATCATAAACAGATATGTCCGATTCAAGTACAGGACCAGAACGAAGAATTCCAGCGGAGTTTACCTACCGGAAAAAGAAAGTTTTATTCTACTTTTACTTCCAATGGAACAAATAACTTTTTTTTGAATCGAGCACTAATGGGTACGGTACACCCACTAGTACCTCTTTTTCAAAGGGAATGGCGGGTAGTGGGGATTTTGGGGTCTTTCCCCAGCGAACGTGCTTTAATCATTTCTCGGGCTCAAAGGCAGCGTCCATGCAAATCTGGACATATGGGGATCTCACGTGACTAGTAATTTTGGGGCCCTAACTAAGCCACTGCCCAACCGGCAGCTTAGGTAGTGCTCTAACGGCTGAGATATTCCCCTCCAAACTGGACCCCAGGATCGGATATCGCATGGATTCATGGCGCAATCCATCAGTTCGCGTGGGTCCTCGCGCGAAACTGATGGGTTGCGCCATAAATCCATGCGAACGATCCCGGGGTCCACCTTTGAAGTGTATATCTCAGCTGTTAGGTGAGTCACCTGCGCTGCCGCATGGATAGTGGCTTAGTTAGAGCCCCAAGATTACTTTCCACGTAAAATCCCCATAGACTCAGATTTACCTTGACGCTGTTTTTGAGTAGCCATCGAAGCTCTACCCTCCACCCGCCACTCCCAGTGAAACAAAGGGTAGATGGTAGCACAAACGTAAACAATGAAAATCTGAGAATGAAAATCTACAAACAAGGCCACATTCCAAAATCACCGTTACACTCCTATCACTCCTAGAATGACTTTAAAAATCGTTTATCATGACATTTATTTCCTGAGACATGCAAACAGTCTTTGACAGCTGATAAACCTTATCTCTCACTGCGCAGGGTCAAATTTTTGTTCTCATCTCTCAAGCTCACTAAAGAAGTGTTTTTAGTCAAAGTGACTTTGTGTCCTCTACCACATTGAAAAGCACTGAACGATGACTCCAGAACTGATTATATCATTTGTCAATCCTCCGTACTTAAAGAGTTTATAGCAAAAATGAATGAAGAATATAGGTGAAACAAATTGTTACTTAAGTGGTGCTTCAATAAAGCAGTGTTGATCTTGAGAATATTACACCGAAGGATTCCACTGCATGAAGTGCTATGACATTCAACCATTTAAACGGTTTTGAACGATTTTGTTCCAGTTGCGCACTCACGTTCCTAACTCAGTTCACTGATCAGTTCATAACTCAACATCCAGAAAAACTTGGCAATAATGGAAACAATTTAGAATAGCGTTTTCTCTACTGGTATTGATTCTATTTGGAAAGCCACTTCGACTGGACACACTTCCCTTGTTAAAATTGTAATCAGAGCGAATATCGATGACTCAAGCGATTCAAGATGCTTACTTATAAACACCAACTCACCAGAGAATCAATCCTCTGAAATTTTCCTAAAGTGTTGGCAACGATCGTCTTTGGAGCGCTTTCCGTAGACAAATCAGCAGCACTGATGACAACCTGAATAGAGCAAAATACAATAGAAATTCACGTTACGTTTTTTCCTTCCTATGTGATGTACATGGAGCGCACACAGAAAACACACAGGGAAAGACTTGGCTTTTATCTTATGAAGAACACTTATCAAGAGCCAATTCGGAAGGTGAAGTCAGGAGATCACTAACGACCGTATGTACATAACGACTGCGGCGTCGCAAATAATAAAAGAGAAATTAGCATATCCACATCAACCTTACATCGTTTTCCGTAATCCCTTCTTGTATGCACTCATGCGCAACCTCTCTCAATGCTGCTTCGTTGCGGCCAGTAAGCGATAGTTGATATCGATGCTTTGCAAAAAGAACAGCAGCCGCACGTCCTATTCCAGAACTTGCTCCTACAATCTTTCCATTTGAAAAACTGATAATTAACTAAGCAGCGGAAAGAATCAGAAAGAAAATTAATACCAAAAAACACAGCATCCCAGAAATGGTTGAGGTCCACTACATCTATCAGGCTCACACATCTCGTACTTATTCTACAGTGCTTATCAAATGCTGGGTCGGGTACATAAGCATCGCCGCTCCCTGTGTCCGCCTCGCCAACATGCCCTCTTAGCACTTCCCCACCACAGCGTGGAAAAACGAAGCTTCAATCGCTAATCAAACGTGCGAAAATGACTAAAGAGCATGTTCGCAAAAGAAGTGCAGAGTCCAGGCGAGGCGGTCGCGCGAGAACGGAGATGCTGGTGCACCCAACTCTGCAACTGTTAAGCCCTATAACTCCCCACTATACTCATTCTGGTTCATTTTTTCTAGATTCGGAAATGGAGTTCAGAAAAATTGGTTCTTAAGAGCCTCTTCTACCAAGCCGCACAAGCATAGAAATCTCATATGAACCTGCGTGTCTGTACACAAAGTTTTGCGTCATTGAATTCGTCCTTCCACCCTGCCAGAGGAGCTTCTGGACAAATGCTCGACTTCCATTCTTCATTTCATTCACGCTTTGTCTGACGCTAATTTGATATAGGGAACTCGAGAGGAGTAAAACCGCCATATTTCCCCTTTCTGAGGCCACCAAGGGCCGGGGCGAGTGGACCGGCTCTGCCTAATTGAGGCAAACATTTCAGAATTCATTTGATTGTGCTCGCCAAGCGAAGAAGCGTCGAGAGGTTAGGAGAATCCTTGTTAAAGGCTGTCGCACACCAGAGTGGGCGGTTTGCACACTTCTGGTGACTTGCACGCTAATTTTCTCCTTTCAACGACAAATTTGGTGAAGAGGGCCTGGTACTGACTGTGGCAGCGCTTAGGAAAGTACACACAAATCTGCCCAGACGCCAACAATAAGAACTCGAAATGTATAAAAAGGCAAGCAAAACTGGAGCGACATTCATCAAGCATAACTACTCATAGTGACTATAGTATAGACGATTCTTCGCACGCAAAGACAGCGCACCACAGCAGACACTCCGACGTTTCGCTGACCAAGTGTTCTTCAATCTCGCCGTCTGCTGTCTCTCCCATGCGCGGCAATCTTACTCGGACGCAACGGCGTCCAGCCTTTGGTAGGTGCCAGAGTAAGCGAATATTTTGTTCAAGTTGGGGTCCCGCGCAGAACTGGCATCATTAATCATTGTGGCATAATGCCAACTTGGCGTTGTGCCACAATGATTAGTAACGCCAGTTCTGCGCGGGACCTCAACTTGAACAAAATATTCGCTTACTCTGGCACCTACCTTTGCGTGCAATGAATAATCGATAGATTCTTTGAGGAGTAAAAAAGGGAAAAGTCAGTCATAAGCATAAAATGGGACTATAGGAATTAGACCTCTATTAAAACTAACAGACCTGTGATAATTGCGACTGGCATGGGCACTGTTCCTCTTGTGAAGTGATATGTGACAGGATTCAGTTGGAGAGGTCGAAGAGTATAGGAGAAGAAGGAACACCAAGCACAGGCCACTGGCCTTGAAGCCTGTAAGCTGAAAACTTTTTCAAATCTCTGTTCATTAAATAATGGTGCGGCTGTTTGAACATATCAGACATAATAGTTACGTAATTCATGCTGACTTATTATCTAACATGGATGCTAATAAGTCCACGATAACCTGCGAAAGTAAAGCTTGTTATTTGAAGCGGCTCCATGTCAGGAGTCACGCCGCGCGCCGCGTCGCTTCGCCGCGCACGTCGCATCTAAATTTTGTACCCCATAAAACTGCCCGGTGTTAAAGTGGCACGGCGCCAGTCCAGGGGAGTGGGGGGTGGGGGCAGATACATGGCTCGTGCCATAAGTAAGACTGCGCCAGGAGTGCTGGCTTCTGTTTTGCTGACATCGCTTGCGGCATCGCTTCGCGAAAAATTCGCGCCGACCGTGACTCTTGACCGTTCCCCATTTGGAGCAACCTTAAAACGTGATCTCGGAAAGAGTTGAGGGTATTGGCACTGGAGCAAGTGTGTCTAGGGGTCGCTGCACATCAATAATTCTTGTCTGTATAGATATGCTTACAAAATTTTCGGTCCTAGTTATTCTTGCTACTAAATTGGGCTAAACTCGCTATAAAATCAGTCACGAGTGAATCATTGATGCCAAAATTTCAGAGAGGATGCGACTCTACAACTAATCGCTGTATTCGATAAGACACCCGCGGCCGCCCTTGAAGTCGAGGAGCGAGACCTTATCGACTTCCAGATTCCAGTGAGGGGGGAGGGGCATTGCACATTGCAGGCACTAGATAACACTGATACTTGTAGAGGAAGCCGGGCAAACCGTCAATTTATGGATATCGCGTAACAAACAAAGGAATGATCAGAAGTCAGAGTGACCAGTCTAAACAAGCTGCACACTACTAGATGCAGCATGGAACGGACTCTAATTTTGTCTTCCCTAACGGCTAAACATCTTTGTGGACGAAGCTATATAACAGCATGAAATTTTGCTTACAGGCAAAAAAGTTTTCCATTCTGATTGAAAAAAACTGCTAACATTCAAAAAGTACAATGAATCGTCGGTAAAACACAAAAAAATCAGTTCATGATTGAAGTAAGGGCTGCAGGTGGCGCGCTCCGCTGCAACCGGTGTGCTCTGATCTTCAAATTCAAATTCCTCCACTAGGTGTCTATAAGCTCCTGCAAGACCAAGGCGGTCGATTCAATGCGCAACGCGGCTGCGACATGGCTGCGTCACAGCCGAGTCACAGCCGCGTCACAGCCATGTCGTACCTCGAACCGACCGCCTTCGTCTTGCAGGAGCTTATACTGGGGGGAGGACGACTATAGTGCGGACCCCGGCCAGGTTCTCACATGTACCTCCGCGCCGCGCACGCAGCGCGCGCCGGGCTGCCTTCTACAGTCTGCCCCAATCCTAAGCAGGCCAAAATTGGCATGGCGGGAGTCCGCGTCGCTAAGGTTTCGCGGTCACGCCCACGGCCTGCTTCTCTGCCCTCTCTTCAGTCCTTTGGCTCTCTCCAAGAGCGCGCATATGCAGCGCAGACCGCTAGCGCTGCGAGCGCGCAAATTTACGCCGACGCTCCGGCCTGATCCCGATTGGGGCAGACTGTAGGCGCCCTCGTGTTTTCGCGTCCTTTCGAATCTCTAAGCTTCTTTCTTCTTCTCTCTCCGTTCTTTGTGCTTGTACTCTGTATTTTAGGCAAGATATGGCAGATTCCGCTGCAACACGCCGTCTTCCCTGTTATCCAACATGTTTGAGTGGCTAAATCAGGTAAGACTCGGTCTGCCAGTTGCTGCAGCGGACCCTTCTCTTGAAGTTTCCTTCTAGGTTACCTCAAGTAGTCCTGCCCGAGGACTCGCTGGGTCGCACACTTTGTCTAAACAAGCTTGATCTCGTGTTTAGCACGTTTATCGTGTATTCGGACCATCACACTTGTGATCTTTTCATCTACAATTATTTGAAGTATGGAGACAAAAGAGAACAGGTGTCTTGATCAAAAAATGTGTGCGACCCGGTCTCGAATTCCGCAAAATTCAAGAGAAGGGTCCGCTGCAGCAACTGGCAGACGGAGTCTTACCTGATTTAGCTACTCAAACATGTTGAATAACAGGGAAGACGGCGTGTTGCAGCGATTATCTGCCGTATCTTGCCTAAAATACAGAGCACAATCACAAAGAACGGAGAAAGAAGAACAAAGAAGCTTGGAAATTCGAAAGGACGCGAAAACACGAGGGCGCCTAGGAGGCAGCCCGACGCGCGCTGCGTGCGCGGCGCGAAGGTACATATGAGAACCTGGCCGGGGTCCACGCTATATATAAGCCATTGAACGCCAGTGTTCCAAGAAATCGTGCGTATAGCGTGAGAACTTACCCATACAGAGCCACGTTCGGCTCAATGCTAGGCCAGAACATGCAGCCGGGTTATACGTACTTTGAGGCCTGGTTCATACTGATTCCCATGTTCTGGAACTGTTCTCGCACAGTTCCGGCATAGTTCTCGCACTGTGCTGGAACTATTCTGGGACTGTGCTGCATGCGCTGCAGCCGCCCCGCACCGTTTTGAACGGTGGGAGTTGGAGAATTTTGACCGTTCTCAACGACTTTCTTCCAGATTTCTCTCATTTTGGCCTTATTCCTCCACCCCACTTCCCTTTTGATTAGCCGAACTTCGAAACTCGAAGCGGGGTTGAAGAATGGGCGCTTTTCTGCTCTGCGTATGCAACAAGACGTGTGTTCTTGTGCTCGTCCATTCTCTTTTCGCTATTTTTGTTCAGACCTACTTCATGTGTTCTAGGAAGGCGCTGCGTAGTCGCCTGAAATTGCATGAATTGGGACTTGTCTCTTGTTTTTGATGAGTTTCGTTTTTGGACGTTCTCATCCCCTTTTCTTTTTCCATATCGTTGCTTCTCCGTTCTTTCTTCTATCCCGCTTCTTCTTGTGATGATAAAAGCTGCGAGCTTGAAGCGCGTTTGAGGACTGAAGCTGTTCTGCTTCATGTATCCAGGAAGATGGACTTTCGTGCGCTTGTCCATCTTCTCTGCCATTTTTATTCAGGCTTACTTCACGTGTTTTAGAAACCTGTTTATGTCAATTTCAATACAGATACGAGACTACGCAGCGCCTTCCTAGAACACATGAAGTAGGTCTGAACAAAAATAGCGAAGAGAGAATGGACGAGCACAAGAACACACGTTTTGTCGCATACGCAGAGCAGAAAAGCGCTCATTTTCCTACCTCGCTTCGAGTTTCGAAGTTCGGCTGATCAAAGAGGGAAGCGGGGTGGAGGAATAAGGCCAAAATGAGAGAAATCTGGAAGAAAAACCGTTAAGAACGGTCAAAATTCTCCAACTCCAGCACGTTTCGGAACAGTTCCAGCACTGTGCGAGAGCTGTGCGGGAACTGTGCGAGAAGAGTTCCAGTACATGGAAATCAGTAAGAATCCGGGCTAACTACACATGGCTGCCCAAAGCGCGCCCCATGCCCCATTGCGAAGTAGTCGGCGCGCAGGATCTTCGCTATTGGGACACACTAGACATTATGGACTTGCATCTACGCTTTTGACAAACGTAATGTAAATGCTGTCAAAAGTTTTTTTGAGGTTGTCTTCCACAACTCAATGTCATAGACGTAAGGTGAGGTAAAACTCTGTATAAATACTTTCTCGGTATACCTGGAAGCTTACTATAGCTTAGGAAGACATCTAAAGTTTACTTCTTCTTATGGTAGGCGCCAGACTAAGCGACTATTTTGTTCAGCTAAGGGGCGCAGAATTAAAGGCAACGTCCGGCAGATACGAAAATGTACAGTGCAGAGGCACCCGTCCTGGTAAGGCTCTTGCCCAACTGGCAATGCACCAATTTGCTTTTGAAGCGAGAAATCCGCTTCAGAAGTAGCGACCGGAACGCTCCGTCGGCCGCAAGTTAGTTCGATAAGCCAGAGTGCGCACCGCACGCAGTCAAGACAAGGCTCCCACAAAGACTCTGCGTCTTAACCTTGGTGGCAGGCTGCAAAATTCAAATCAAGAGCTTCTAAGAAAGCCCGTTTTCTGCGTTTTCGTGCCCTCCAAGCTGCATTTTCAGAATCAGCGGGAGGGACAAGCCCAGGTAAGCGAAAAAAAATTCCATTCGAAATTCTGCCCGGACGCTGCCTTTGACGTTAAATCTGCGCGGGACCTGCAGCTAAGCGGGCCTTAGCAGCAGCAGACATTATGCAGCAGACATTTTCTGCGCGCCTTTTGCAGCTGAACAAAATAGCCGCTTAGTCTGGCGCCTACCATAGAGTGAAGGAACGGTTTATCACTTATATATTCATCAAGGTCTGTCTGTTTCAAGTTGGAAGAAAGTACCATTGAAATCTATCCTTTGACATGTGCAAGCAAGTTGTTTCGAAATCTGAGTCTGGCTTCCCTCTTTTAGGCTCCCGCCAGGGGAAGCCACGCCAGCGCTGCGCCGGCGCCGAGCCAGCGCTGAGCTGTCCCATTTGTTCGAGGTGGGGCTAGCTGACCCTGTGCGAGCAAGGGCTATCGAGTTTCTGGCAGATTCGTTCAATAGTCGGTGCATCTACCTGGCTGAGAACCATAGTTGCGATGGGGGGAGTGATGATCTTACCCTCTTCACTTTGAGGCCAAACCCGATGACCCCCTTCACCTGGGCTGAGATTGGTATTGTACTCTGAGAATATGATAAAAATCGTTATTAAAAGGTTTTGCAGGCTAAATACCTCAAACAACAAGTACACTCATAAATTTACAAAAGAAACGGTACTTATGTTGATTTATATTATTTATTTATCCTCGTAGCATTCATTTGGAGAGCAGAAAGTGAGGACAAAAAATCAGTTGGTTTTTGGAGTACATAAAATCCCTCATGTCTCGCGGCACAGAAGACCTAGAAAAAAGTCGGCGATCTATGTCGATTCTCCATGATCTCAGCTTTCGAATGCAGCATGTTAGGGCTTCTTTGCTTTCCGGCTCTAAAAATCATTTGCTCCGGTAACCGATAAAAGCCAATACATTGGTGGAGCTGGGTGGAGCAAGCTAATAGTAAATATCTCCACCCCATTTTTGAAAACTGATTAGTTTTTTCGCCCAGCAACCTACATACCATTCGAAAGCTCAGGAAAAGGGGATTCGACCTAGACCGTCGACTTCTTTCTAGCCCCCCCCCCCTCTACCGAGAGATACACCGCATTTTATCTGAAAACATGGTCATTTTCAACAGCAGATTTCTGCCAAATGAACACCTAATCACTGCTGATTATCTATCTGTGTTAAAGAGCAGGTCTTCATTAACAAACGTAGACCGTCGACTTTCTCGTAGAATTCATTTGGAGAGCAGAAAGTGAGGACACAAAATCAGTTAATTTTTGAAGCACATAAAATCCCTCATATCTCGCGGCACAGAAGACCTAGAAAAAAGATGGCGGTCTATGTCGATTCTCCATGATCTCAGCTTTCGAATGGTATACAGCATGTTAGGGCTTCTTCGCTTCCCGGCTCTAAAAATCATTCGCTCCGGTAACCGATAAAAGCCAATACATTGTAGGAGGTGGAGCAAGCTAATAGTAAAAAATGTGCTGTGGATTGACATCGTTATCAGCATTAACGGGAACGCGAGCGAACGCGTCTATTTAAGCGTGCCTATCGTTGTTATATGTTTATGTTTTTTTTTAGTAAAAAATGCGCTTTTGATTAACAGTTGTGCCATCATTATCAGCACATACACAAAAAAACTATGGGAGATTGGTGAATTTCCACACCTTCACACAAAAACCCGCCCATTTCTGGAATCTATACTCTGTAAAACTAGTGCTGGAGAAGGTCACGTTCGTGAAAACGCTCTAGACTCACCTAATTGTAGAGAATGGTTGGTTTCAATAAATCAAAAACTTTGAGGCATTCAGAAGAACAACATGTTATTAAAATATCCTTCAATGTTTTGGAAAGGTTGGCAGTTTGAAGAAGAAGCGGCAGGCCGAATACTTTACAAAATCGCAGACGACTCGCATGTGTTCCAGTTCAACAGCGAGGCAGAAGGAGAATCTTACGCCGACGAATATGTTGTCGACATTGATACAGAGTTGACATTTGAGCGAAACTCTCTATTTCGCATATCAGAAATCCAAGCAGATTGCCTAGTCTCAATGAGGAAATGTCCAAGAAGTCCACTGCTGATCTTCAGGTTGCTGAAGATTTCAAGGCTGCTAGATTCACGAACATGGATATGAACAAAAGGAAGGTGATAGTACAAAGCATAGCTACTGCTCTTAGATTCCGACTGGAGTACGAACTTAATTCTGTGCTTTATGCTGCTGGAAGTATCTCGCCTTGTGACAATATGACCTGTAATATTGAAAAAAACCAACGCGCAGCATAGTATCTACTTTTTTCGGCTATTCCGCAGATGCTGTTGAAGAAGAAGTTGAGCGGCTTTCTCGTCAGCTAACAAGACGTGAGCCAGAGGAGGTGAAGCCAGAGTTCGACAAGGCCCAAAAAAGTATGCAATATTTACTTCCCGTGTTGCGAAAGCATATGCGATCTGGCTCTTTCCCCATTACTTACCGCAAAAATCTGATGGGCTTACTAGCAAAGCTAGTTCCCATTCCGACTAGCACGGCAGAGGTGAAGAAAGAAGTTTTCTATCTACTCTGTTATCAGAACGCAACGCAGAACTCGTACAACGGTGGAATCTAAGCAATTACTTAAGATTTGTCAACCTTCTACTGAAAATATTGTTATCTAAAAACTTCATTTAAAGGATTGCTATAAGTGGTCCAGACAGGCTGTCATCGTATGACTTTTTGAAATATCCTAAAAGATGGTATGAAGAAACTGGTCAGCTACCTGCTGACTTCCTGGTGCTACCAGAGGGCCAGGAAAAAAACACAAAAGGGCTTAGAATGAGAAAAACGTTTCAAATCCATTTTCGACTCAGAACGCTTTTTGACGCAATTCTACTTCTACTCCGATGATCTTTTGACAGAAGAAGAAGATCTTTCAGGCAGCGAATTTGTTGTCTCTGAAGTTAGCGATAGTGATATTGTCGATGATGACGTGCAGGAATTGTAAGTTGTTCCTAACTTGTACATCTTTTAAGATACCTTATTGTTTCGTTTTTTGTCGATGCGTTGAAATAGGAGCACAGATCTTCATAAAGTCGATTTTTTGATTTATTAGGTTGAACCGAAAGTTCTTTCGCACCAAATTCAAAAATTCATAACTTCTGAATTTTCCAGCCTATTGGAACGCTCTTATTTTTTTCTGAAAGAGTAAGTCATGCTCTTTATAACGACTTCTTAGATGCTTGCTAATGATCTGTTGCGTAGATAGGAGCTGTAGAAGAAAATTAGTCAAATTTCGAATTTCTGTGTAGGATCATAAAAAATCGAAATCTTGCGACAAAAATCGGAGCAGTCGGTATTGTAGGTTCTTTCACCAGCTCTTTCTAACAGTGCAAAGTTTGCGCCGATTGAGCGTCTCTATGAAAGGTTACAATTTCCCTGAAAAATGCCAAAATAAACCAAAATCATCCTTTTGTATTGCTTGCTCGAAAATCGTAACTTTTCATAGGACGTTCAATCGGTGCAAACTTTGCACAGTTAGAAAGAGCTGATGAAAAAACCTACAATATATACTGCTTCGATTTTTGTTGCAAGTTTCCGATTTTTATGACCCTACACAGAAAATTCAATTTTTGACCAATTTTCTTCTACCGCTCCTATGTGCAATAGATGATCATTAGTAAGCAATTGATGGTCTTTATAAAGAGCATGACCTCTCTTTCATATTTTCCGGTTCAACCCAATATTATTTTTTTTTAAATTCTAGAGAAGTGGAGCGAAAAACTTATTATTTAATTATTAATTATTATTATTATTTAATTATTAATTAATTATTTATTTACTTAAATTTATTGTATCTTTGGTTATATGAATTCGCAATGCTGATTCACATCATAGCAACCACCACTTTCTTTCCTGAAGCAATATGTAATTTCATCTTTCAAATCTCTATTGGTCTTACCACAACCTTACGATAATGAAAAAGGATAGCTGATCCGTTTTTGTATGATCAACACTGCAAATTATGCATTTTGTAAAAGAGACATCAGCGTTATCAAATAACAAGGAAAGTAGTTTCGGATTAAGCGATTTTCCAAGTACTGCTAAGGTAATGGGTCAGCAGCCATCTTTATTCAAAAATAGTGCAAGTGCTTTCTTGCAGTTTTTTCAAAATACACAGCTGAAGAAAAGGTAAAGATAGAGTTTTAAGCTTACTGACTCTGAAAGTAGTTCCAATGTCTCGCAACAGGGTCCTAAAGGCAGTCGCGTGCATTGCAGAACAGTGAGAGTGAAGCGGAGGAAAATTTCGAGAATTGGCTTATCTGTTAACGAACATGTGCCAAACAAAATCAAAGGCGAACAACTCTTTTTTTCTATACATGAATGACAAGCGCTTAGATGTAAACAAGTAGCAAAAAGTACTCATTATCGCGTCCATTGGTTTTCAATCAATGCAGATATATTGTTTATTTTGTTTGAGTATGAAAACCGAAAAACGGAACATAGGGGACAAAAAGCTGAATCAATTTGAAGAGCTCTGTGTGTCACGAAAATGTGTCATGGCAGTAAATAATGCGCAATCTTCATTAACAGCGTTTTCAATCGCTCTCCGTAAAAACGTGCATGCCAGTCATTAATCCTGCAATACGCCAAATTTCTTAACATTTTTACCAATTGCTTGAAGTTCTGCAAAAGTGGTGAATAACGGACAAAATAAAGTCTTTTTACGGGAACATCTGTGGGAATGCAGCAAGACATGCAAGACATACGAGAAGTTGTTCTTTCAAAGCGTATCATCGTCTTTACAGAAAATGTGTTGCTCTATAAAATTTACCAAAAGTTGAGATCATGTGCACAATGGCTCTCAACTCTACCGATGTTTTTTCGGTTCATAAAAAGTTGTCGAGCAAGGGCGAGCAGAATAATATCGTGTACCAGCTGGCATACCCGGTCTTGCCAGGTTCACAAGCCAGGAGCCAGAGGAAGGACGGGGGAAGCGCATAGAAATAGTGTTCTGCTTCCATAGTTTTCATCTTTTATCTAGCTTCCATCTGGATTTGATGTTCGTTCATTCGATGAAAACTTCCATTCGTTACAATTAGTACATACTCCCAACTCTTATCCATCCCACAATTACTCCCCCTGCAGCCCCGCACCCCTCTTTTATTCCACCTCCTCATTTCGTTAGAGATGTCGCACGTATCACTGTCCCACCAATCCCTTTCTCTGCAGAACAGCGATAGATTGGTATGAGACATAATTGAAGTATATAGGCGTAACATGGAGTTGAAACTACATATAAAAAATTTTGGAAAAACTATGTGAACTGAAAGCGTGGCAAACCTTTTCTGAAGTTAGATGCCGGTCGGCCACCAGAGGTGACTCAGAGCAAACAAAGTCACAATTTCTCCTCTTCACCTGGCATCTTCGTAATTTTTACATAACTTTGATCTGCTTCCAAAACAGGGTTTGAACCTCTCTTAAATCCTCTTCTCTCAGGCTAGTTACATCCCTCCAAAATTTTGAATACTGCTCTGAGTGCGCCGGACACAGTAACGCGGAGAGTAGAAACATTATTGGGTATCTCATCGTATGTTTCGTATTGTTTTTGCATCCTGTTCTATTTTTTGGTATTCAGTTCAAAAGCGTGTCATTGGACATTTTTGTTGGGAAGTCATTTCTTCGTTTGTTTCCAAAGTGTCAAAGCCACTACGTGCCGAGCCTTGGTACGATCGTTTTCTTGCAGGCCAGTGTAGCAAGTTGTTGGGCACTAGGTGCATGTGTACGCTTTTGTGTGCCTCCCCCCCCCCAAAAAAAATAAACTGCAGCTTGACATCTGCCAGTCTTGTGCCGAGTCCTGGACGAAAGTCTTGCAATATTGAAAAATCACAATTATATCTTCAAGGAAATTTTCGGCTATAAAGTGCGTCAGAAGTTTCCGACGAACACATATATTGTAGTTAGGATGCAAAATTATGTAAACTAGCTATAATGGACGATAGTTTACACAAATTTCTAAGAGCAGAAATCAACTCTCTACTGTTAGTAATCTCATGCAATGATTAAAAGCCACTTCAAGTACAATCTATATGAAGCTGCATGTAAACGAATAACTTGTATGCGATTTATATCTGCATGTCAATTCTTAAGTATGACAGCTTCGCTAACAATAGACTGGAGGAATAATGTCGTTTTTCGATCATAAAGCGAATATCAATTTTCGCGATAGGTTGAACAGAGATATTTTTTTGAATATGTGCGACTTAGCCAGTATTAAGCTAAAAAACGAGAAGTTCTCAAATGGCTTTTCTTTTTGACACAAAACGGCCCTGGCCATGTGCTCAAAACAAGACCATAAGCGCTTGAAAAAGCAGAAAGAATGATATGCACCTTTAACATTTGTTCAAAAGCGCGAAACTCTGGTTTTCGTTTTGATAAAGCCTAAATCTTGTTATAGAGTATGTATCTCGTAGAAATTAACCAGTCAAAATTTGCTGCGCTCTCTACTATTCCTATCAGAAACCTAAGTTTTGAAAACCATCCTTCCGATTTTGATAACATAGACTTTTGTATCTCTTGCATTAAATCCTAATGCTTAGAATGTGCTGTTCCCAAATATTGTAATGCCTTTTTGACCCCAAATCTTGTTAACCTAAGTTGTTAGCAAAAGGAAATATCTAGACCAACTTTATTTTATTCTGCACCCTCGAAAATAGAAGCTTAGCTTTTTTCTAAGCGGGACGGCACTATCCTATCCGAACTATAATCTTGCACTTGAGTGGTGTGTCTGTCAGGCACATTCGGACTCTATAATTGCGAGCTCCTCAGATTATCATGACTTCGAAAGGCTCACCAACGTAACAACTTTCTTGGCACCCACCCACAGAACGTCTGAACTTTGATGGAATTTCAAGGCATCGACCACTTGAGCTGGTTTTTTTGCCAAAAGACTTCATGTTGGAACTAGAAAGCTAGTGGTGGTAGTTGAATGACAGAGAAACGCATTCTCATTGCAAAGCTTCTTCCATCTGATCAAATTATTATCTAGTCAGATTACATGGAAATGTCGATATGGGTACTATGATAACACATACTAGTCACATCGACGCCTATGGCTATCTTGATAAAGGTAGTACTGAGGAGGTCTATTGCTATCAATTGTACATAACACATATTATTAGTGAAAAAAGCGATCTCAGGGAAATCCAAGTTTTGGTCCTTGACTTTTTGGTTTCGGTTCGGCATTGTAGGTCCTGAACCTTGACTTTGCAACAAACAAACTCACTATTGAAAAGCAACCTCGAGAACTCCTACTCTGAAATTTGTTCTTGCTTGGAACAGCACAGCTGAACTTCAAGAAATTTCTTTGGAATCTCGTTTCAGCATCAGAAGAGACATTAGGGGTACATAAGGGGTAGGGCTTGCTAGTCGTGGTCTTCCTTTAAGTTGCGGTCTCGCAGTCACACCACTTAGGTGAAAAAATAATATGGCTCGGGCAAAACTTTTGGCAACCTTTGGGGCACTTTACGAGAGAAATTTGGGCCAACCAAATTATCAAGAACAGACGCTTAGCGCTTTATTATAAGTCACCGCTTTGGACTGGCTGTATGCGAAGTGGGATATGCTCAAAAGTTAGAAGTTTTTAGGTTTTCTGGTGTGCCTTTTCCCCTCAGGATATATGAATAATAATAGACTGTGCCGCTTGCGCACTATCATTTGGCGCATGCGTTAAGTTCTTCATAACTTTTTGCTCGTACACAGAATGTGTGCAAGGATTTTTGATTGGAAATCTGACTAATCTTGTTCATATCTTGTGCTATGATGATCTCAAGCTGCCTAAAAATCTCAATTGATAATGACTTGAGCATGGAAATTGTGGAATTGGAGTTTACAGTATAGAAAACAACAGTAACCAAAATACGGCATGAACAGGGAAAAAAGCACTGGAGCGGATAAGTGGTTATGTCGAGTGACAACATTAGCGCGGGTACCTTAAACATAAACGCAGAAGTACATTTTTATAGAGATGTCCAGTATTTTACCATTTACATAAAGAAGCAGTCAGTATTTAGGTAACAAAGCAACGGATTTAGTAGTAGCATGTGAGAGATATGCAAGTCTTAGGGCACATAAGTAGCTGTGACAGGTCATTTTATAATGGTAACTATCCTGTAGCGATTATTGGGCAATTTCCGTTTTTGTAAGCGCATTGATACAAAGTCTGGGATGATTTTTCATGGCCAAGGCAGGTGCTCAATCCAGTGGGATACGCTACTATCCAATCCATCCACTCCGCATTTGATAATTTAATAAAAACTCGTGTTGCTTGGAGCGAAATGAGTGGAGCGGATAGAGCGAACAATTATAGCACGCGTCAAACCAAAGTTGTCTCATACTAAGGCACATTTCATTTGTAGGAGCCATAACATCTCGGCCTATTTGTAAGGTGTATTCTATACAGATAAGTGTTATCAGTTGAGAACCGCTCTGATCACAACATTTTTCACTCTTTCCTCCTTTTTGTGGACTCTAATTCCTTCCATTCGTCGGGCTCTAGATAGGGCCACATATAGCTAACCGTGCGAAAATACCTCAGACTCAAGGGAGATGCCCACGCTAGTGAAGGTCTGTCCTTGAGCCTTATTTATCGTCATAGCAAATGATAAACGGACAGGGAATTGCCTTCTTCGCAATCGGAAAGGTACTCCTACTTCAGTGAAGATGACTTTGCGTGGTATCAGCACTAATTTTCCTTTCCTATCCCCTGATGCGAACCGACATCCTAGGATAAAACGCCCAAAATGAGTGACGATCAATCTTGTCCCATTGCATAGCCCATTTCTAATATCGAGATTTCTCAAAAGCATGACTATCGAGCCCTCTTTCATTCGAAGATTGTGAGGAGGCATCCCAGCAGGCGCTAAGCTGTTAAGAAATTCGGTCGTGTATTCGTTATGTGGTTCATCGCTAATCACATCGTCAACGCTCTTATACTCGTAAATTCGTCCGGGGAGTTTTCCCAATGCTTCTTCATTGATCCGATACGCTTCGATATTCCGAGGTGCTAGTATTGCTCGTTCACTCAAGGTAGGAAAATCAGTCAACGAATCACCGAATACTTCACTGATAAGATCGCCTTTAGAAAGGATTTCAATTGAAAGCTCTAGGCGGCCCATCTCATCTTCTTCTGCTGTTCCGTTCCCAACTCGAATCAGAAGATCACACCAAGTCGAGCCAGATTCTGCAGCTCTAATATTGACAGAGAGCCGATGCATAGTGAAGCAGCTCCACAGGTCACTGTTCTTTACACATGCATCAATCATATCTCCTTCGCT